TAAAAACAATCAACAATAAACTGTGGGCAAATTGACAAACTTTCTTGTATGTTCGTGGGTGTTTTTGCCACATTGACTTCCATTATAATTACATTTTTTGATTGCCTAGCCATGACACCTGGCGTCCCAGTGGCGCAGTAGGTAGTTCACTGGTTCGAACCTCGGCTCAGTTAGCGTTTCTGTGTGGAGTTTGCATGTTCTCCCTGCGTTCGCTTGGGTTTCCTCCGGGTTCTCTGGTTTCCCCCACTGTCCAAAGACATGCGCAATAGGTGAATTGGGTAAGCTAAATTCTCCATAGTGTTCCTGTTGATTCATCCATGATGACACTTTGAGTTATTAAATTCTTCAGTTTTTCTGCTTTATATCTTTTAAACTAAACACGTTGCACATTTCCTTTTATGGCACTATTCTTCTCTTCCACATTCTCTTACGTGTTTGGCCTCTGAAACAAGGGCGAGTTCTCAAATGTTGGACTTCTAGTGAGCAAACTGAGTCCAGGTGGAGGAAACCCCATACCGAGGATCTGCCCAGCTGTAGATCCTCTTCATTTCAGTTGGCCCTGACCTCCTGCCGACTGCACAGGAAAGCAGTCAGCACTATTTTATCTTCAGGCATCCTCCGTTCCCATAGGTAGACTTAGTTAAATACTCCCACGTCCCATTAGCAGACTACAGAACCCAATCCTTTCCAAGCCAATAAGGAGGAAGTCAATTGCTTTTGGCGTTCTGAACGACTACACACTGCAGTTAAAGAGTTTGATAAATCTTCTACATGAAAGTCCTTTGAGGTGTGTAAATTATGTATAAAACAGTCAGTATTCTGACTGCTTTAGTAGAGCGGTGATCAGTCTACTATATGAGGCTTTCAAGAGCACAGCTGGTGTTTTATTTGGAAAAAAAGTTCTTGGATGTTTTCATGAAGGCTGATTCACACTAAGTGACATGTATCTTGACATAAACAAAAGAACAACTGGTAATGTGCATTTGCTGATAAATACCTTTTAAAGATGATTTTTTTCAGTGTTTTTACTTTTTAAAATACTACTTTTACTCAGTATTTTTTTTTCTCTCTTTTTTTTTTTTTTTGGAATATTCAAATTCTAGATTTTTAAATGATTGTGTGTCTACCAAATCCTGTCCTATCCTAACAAACCGTGCATTAGTGACAAACTTTAGTGCACCAAAACAATTTTATAGATTTGTTTTAATATATATATATATATATATATATATATATATATATATATATATATATATATATATATATATATATATATATATATATATATATATATATATATATATATATAAAATGTTTGTATTAATTGTTTTGTTCTATTTTTTTATTATTTTATATAATATTATTTTATATAATAAAATTTTTATTTAATTTTATTAGTTTTTTATATAATTTTATATAATTTTATTTCATTTTTATTATTTTATTTTATTTTATATAATATTATATTTCATTTTATTTTTTATTTTATAGTAATTTATTTGTTTTTTATATTATTTTATTTTTATTTTATTATTTTATTTTATATAATTTTCTTATTATTTTTAATTTTTAATTTTATTTGGTTTTTAAAATATATAATATTATTTATTTATTTTGTATGTTTTATTATATTATTTTAATTTAATTTTATTTTTTAGATTATTTTATTTTATGTTTTATTTTTATTATACTGTTTTATTTTATATTATGTTATTTTGATTATTTTTATTTTGTTTAATTTTAGATTTTATTTTATTTTGATTATTTTTTATTTATTTTAATAGTTTTTTTATTTTTATGTTATATTTTATATTATATTATCTAATTGTTTTATTATATTGTTATTTTTTTGTTTTTTATACAACATTTTTGATATTTGTTTTTTATATTTTATTTTATTTTATATTATTTAATTTCTATATTTTTATTATATATAATTCATTATATTTTATTTAGTTTTGTTTTGTTATATTTTATTTTATATTATATTGTTCCATATTTTTTTTTTGTTAGATTTTATTTTTATGATTTTATGTTTATGTATTTATTTATTTATTTATTTTTCTTGTATGCTTTAAGCAAAAGTTGTCTGTAACTACTTTTTTTTTGGAGTGGGTTGGCCAGGTTTATCTTATCTAGTGCTTCTTGGTTCCACCAGACACACACAAATGCCAGAGGTTTCAAGGATGGCCTGTACTCGGCAGCTATCTGATACCACAAGAGCAACAGTTTAACAGTGACATGAAGTTATTTATCTGCATCATTAGCAACATTCTGCAGCTACAGATTCGGGAACTAAGACACCACCCAAATGATCACTTGGAAGAGCTCCCAGTGTGGATGTGTGTTCAGTTGTGTACATTTAGCAGACCATAGTTTGCAAACATAATGTATTCGAGTGAATCACAGGATGCAGAGAGCTGTTAAGCTCTAATAAAAGGCTTTATTAATCATCTAAGGAAATAATCAATAAGGAAACAAATCATTATTAAGTGTGTGTGTGGGATGCACCAAACCATCCTAAAACATCGAGTACTGTGTATTTGACTTTGAAACTAATGCAGAGGAAGCAGCTTGCTCTTTGTAAGCTTATTAAATCAGACGTCCTGCATGAGGATATTAAGTTGTATATTGAATCTGATGATCTTTGTCCACTCAAATGTTCTCTACCGCTACAGATTGGGCTTGACCTGAGCCTGCTGTGTCCTGACATTGTGGCCAATATTGGCTGTAGTTTCTTAATACTCCAAACCCATTTACCCACTGTCCACTCTTTGATTTAAATGAGCTGAAGTTACTGCTTTCACTGCACTTAAAGCATATCAGAGGCTTTGTAGAGCTCTTGTGTTCATGCCAGTAGCTTTGGTTTGGCAGAGTTGTTATTTAACTCTTTCCGTTTGGGAAGTGATCTTCATAACAAGTGCAGAATATAAGAGATAGCTTTGAAGTTACTTTCAAATCTAAATGCATAAAATATTACGTATATCACATGATGCCTTCCGTCTTGCTCTTGCAGAGGTTTAATATCATGGTTTAAGAAATGATTACTTGCTTCAGAATTGGTTGAAATCACAAAATTATTTCATTTCTTTGAAAGACTGACTTGTTTATGAAGTGAGATTTTACAGATGAGTGAGTAACCCACTTTAAATAAAGCCTAGATGCGACTCGACTGGTTTCCCAGATGTTTTTTTGCCTCTGATTTTAGTCCAGCACAGCATTTTCAGTTGGCGCTCATTTCCATTTTCTAAATGTCTTTCTCTGTGCTGTGTTTTCTTTAACTAAAACTTTCCATCTGTCAAATAGGCAGAATAGTCATAATATACCAGGTTTGGTTTATGCAATTTCGACAGTTTGAAGTTATAGGCGAAGACAAATAAATCTTAAAATAGGTTTATCGTTTCTGTTACCCCATTGTGATAGTCTTCTGTATTTGATTTAGCTTATTATGATTTTATTTGCTTATTTAAATAGTACTGGGCAATAAAATCTGCATCGATATTTATTGATCCAACACCATTGTCAATATTGATTATTTTGGGTATAAAGCGCTATAGTTTTATTTTAATGTGGCTGCTGAGTGCGTGCCTTGGAAGCAGTGCCAACAAGCATAGAGTGCAAGTTTCATACGGAGTCATTTCTAATTAAGGGTGCTTTCACACCTACACTTGTTTCGGAACGTATCTCGTTTGCCCAGTTAGCGCGGTTCGTTTGGCATATGTGAACAGGGCAATCGAGCTCTGTTTCGCGCCAAAGTAATCGCTCCAAGACCGCATGAATGAGGTGGTCTCGGCTCGATTGAAACGAACCCTGGAGCGGTTCGATTGCAGTGAGAAAGCGATCCGATCCGAGCGCGTTTATATCACAGTGTTTTATGGATATGTAATTAGCATACGGCTATATGAAGAGAGAATTATGAGTAGGGCGGGAAGTTTCGCGAGTCTCCGGATGCCCGCAAACGAGTGATGATCTCCCGGTAATCTCGCGTCTCCCTCCCGGTCCTCAAATAGGCATCGTCGCGCACCCTTCTCACCCCTCCCCGCCGCATCTCTCCTCAGACACGTCGCGCGCCACACCCTGTCAATCACCACCAAACCACCACCTCTCCTGACAGCTTAGCAGGACACTGCAAAATAAACCCTGACACTCTGACCAATGTGAGGAAAGTTAAATCACATGTCACTTGTTTTAGCTCTTTTAGTCCGATTAGAAACTTTGCAGTGTGAAAGCGAACCGCTCCAAGAGCAACAATGTAACATTTGTAATCTCTGTTTCGGAACAACTGAATCGATTCACAGGTGTGAAAGCACCCTAAGACACATGACGTGCATGACGCGCACATGGGAGTGAACCGTGCGCATTTTTTAGCCACACCTAGTTAAAAAAACATCTCAACTTTTCTGAGTGCTGTGAGTGCACCGCGATACATGCAAGTAGAACGAACCAATCTGCTTCACACTTTGTATGAATATACATGTTTCAGTAACAGCAGACTAATTACCTCAGACAAACACAGCGCAGCAAAGGTTTGTCCATTTGTCATCCTCTGAGAAATTGGTTGATGGTCACCTACTGTAGTTACAAGTGACGCCAAGGGACTTCAGGTCTGGTCAGAATAACAACACATGTGAAAATGAGTGCCGTATAGCAGCAGTGAGGAGATTGTAAATTAAAAAGGGTGTAAGGATGTCACCAGAGTAGCTTTTTGGTTTCTTTTCTTGTGCATCCCAGCCACTAGCTCCCTATCAGAAATATCTTTATCATAGGGGGTAATGTAGTCATTCAACTTCATTTGTAATGTTGCAGTTTGTATTTGAATAATGATGGTTGCTTCCTTTACTTGAAAGCTCAGATTTGATCATCATAATTTGTGTTGTTGACAGAGTTTGAAGTGTACTGTATTCTTGTATTGAATTGAATTAAATTGTTGAATTAATTGAATTAAAATGTTCCTACAAAATGCTGACCTTTTTTCCCTATGTCTCTTTTTTTTTTTGCAGATCGTGAGGACCAATCAATTCTTTGCACGTGAGTAACTGTTAAGTCATCTCTCTTCAGCAGGTTGCGTCAGTCAGTCTGGACTAATGGAAGTGATGTCAGAAATCAGTGTTTTTGGAATCAAACACACATGTCCGAGTCATGTATTTTTTCGGTATTGAATATCAGTAGCTGCAGCTGTTTGGCATGTGAAGCATCTCACACCAAGTCATGTCTGTCTGAGCATTCATGGATGGAAATATCAGCTTTAGATTGATTTAATCATGTCTTCTTTGACGTTGTAAATAAGTAAACATCCTCTCTTATATCATGGTGTCACTGTAAAAGGTTATGAGAGTAGATTTTAGCATCTTTCCCTCAAAGTTGTCCCCTTTTGACATACTGATATACCACTGCAGCACATGCCGTCCTGCACACCCACTATGCAGACATGATGTCCATGAAGCCATATGTCCATGTTGCTGGAATGTATATTAAAGGAATCTCACACTCAGCAGCTTAACGGCAAATAAAAAGCAGACATGCCAAGTGCATTTACACACAACATACATTTATCATTTATTCTGAAACACTCAAGACTTAATCTCTTTTGTGTGAAAGCACATCTTTAATAGCATAACGGCCAAACTGTTCTGTTTTATACAATAAAAATGGTGTCCCCGGTTAATGGCTTTGCATGTTATGCGCAAATCGTATTACTCAAATCATCGCAAATTACATAAATACATTTTGTATAGGTATCTTGAGAGCCCCCTCTTTGTAAAAAATACTACCGTGACATAAAGTTACAGTATAAATGTTTCCATAATCATCCTAAACTCAATATAAGTGTCTCTTATGAGCAGCTTTTGTGTGATTCACCCATTTTTATGAGATTTTGCTTTTGTTTTTCATTAGATAAATCCACTAATAAGTAAATGACTTTACAGATCTGCGTGGAAAAAGTCTGCCTGAGTCTTTCTAAAGGTTGTTTTTTCCATTTATGGGCCGATTTTGGGAGATGAATATTTGGATAAGAAGAACCATATTTCTCACATATGTATTATACAGTGTTTATGATAAAGTCCTAATAGCCTCATGAGCTACATAATAGTTTTAATAACTCATCTCTAGTAACTGATTTATTTTCTCTTTGTCATGATGACAGTAAATAATATTTTACCAAATATTTTTCATGATACTTCTATACAGCTTAAAGTGACATTTAAGGGTTTAACTAGGTTAATTAGGTTAACTAGGCAGGTAATTAGGCAAGTTAATGTATAAATGTAGACTATCGAAAAAAATTAGCCTAAAGGGGCTTATAATTTTGTCCTTAAAATGGGGTTAAAAAATTAAAAACTGCTTTTATTCTAGCCAAAATAAAGCAAATAAGACTTTCTCCAGAAGAAAAAATGTAATCAGACATACTGTGAAAAATTTCTTTCTCTGTTAAACATCATTTGGGAAATATTAAAAAAATAAAAAATAAAAATCATATGGGGGCTAATAATTCTGACTCCAACTGTACCTGTGAAACGTCGGCGCAATAGCCTTGTGGTTAGCGCACTAACATATGGTGCAGTAGCACGTTTAGAGTTGGAATCCCAGCTCGAGGACATTTCTCATCCCTACCCCCTCTCTCTCTCTCCCACTTCACTTCCTGTCTGAAATTCTGTCCTATCCACTTAATAAAAGCAAAAAGGCCAAAAATAAATCGTAAAAAAAAAAACATACTTGTGAAAATGGTATTATAGTTAATGAAAACGAACAAAAAAAAAATTAAGCTAGAATTGAAACACATTTTTGATAACTGAAATAAAAATAAAAAGGAGAGTAAAAAAAAAACTAGTTAAAAAAACTAGAACTAACTAAAACTGCATCCTGTCTGAACTAAACTAACTGAAACTAACTAAAATTATACCAAAAACATTCTTCGTTTTCTTCCTTGTAGTTGTATGAAATACATAAGGCTTTTAGAAGTAAATTTATTTATTTCGTGATGCCAGTTTTACACAAGATGTTTGACCATACAGCGCTTCGGAGTCTGTAATCCTGATGCCATTGGCCAGATCAAGCCAGTCCTCCTCCAGTCAGGTCCTTGCTGTTGCTACCGTGACAAAAGCAATGAGTGGATATAACAGCAACACAGTGACTATTTTAAATATGACCCGAGCAGACAGTTAAAAGTATTCATTTAACACATTTATGTCCAATAATGAGTTTTATTTCCGTATTAGTGCTCTCGATCGTGAACAAATCATTCTTTTTTATGGTGAAACTAGCTGAATTTAAAAACAAAAAGTCAAAACTAAGTAAAAACTAAAACTAATGAAAAATCTCACCTATTATAACCATGACCTGTGATACAGCAGCTTGAATCCATTGATCAAACAAATGTGCATAAAGATGGTCCTAATCTTTTTTGTGTTTGGGGTGTATTATATGTGTAATGACATGAGTTGATGGTTGCTTTTGATTGCTAATTTTTCTTGCAGCGGAGAATCAGGTGCTGGAAAGACCGAAAACACCAAAAAAGTCATCCAGTACCTGGCTCACGTCGCATCATCTCACAAAGGAAGGAAGGACCACAACATTCCAGTGAGTTTCTTTTCTCTCGGCTGTCCTCAGAGTTAATGCAGAGATTAATACAGGCGTGAAGGGCAGGATGTTGGGGTATTCTGGGAAAGACTTCAGCAAGGTTTTTGCTGAGCAGAATATACAGTAGGCTTGCATATTAAAATCTCACTTAGTTTTATTGTCTCATTTAGAAGGTTGAAAAAAAAACTCAAAAAAGAAATCTCAAAGTAAAATGTAGACATGATTCTTTTAAAGGTCTGGATTAGTGAGAGGGTTTTTACAATAATTTTTTTTCTCATTTTAATCTTAATCAGTCATTTGGAAGTGTTTGTACTTTGGGTGGGAAAAAAATCAATTTACAGATGGATCCATGATTTTTCTCTAATGATTTTGAAGCTATTCTCAAAGGTTATTATATTGCAATAATGTATGCCTGTGGGCCTTTTTTTATTCAAAAATAATTGTTGAATATAATTTTTATATAAAGATTATTAGTTTTAGGAGATTTATTTGTGAAAAGGGGTTATAAACAACAACAACAATTTATATGAAATAGGAACTTTTTTTCCTTAATTGCTCTTTTTAATCTGACATTTCAATGTTATATTCAGAAATTATAGCACTACTGTTATAGATTCCAATCATACTTCTATTATGGTTCAAATGTAAAGTTGAAAAGATGTATTTACACTGTCGAACAATTAGGAAAACATACATAGAGAATCAATTTAGAATCGAATCGTGACTCCCAGAGGTGCCTAAAGATCCCAACACTTAGTTTGTAGTATAAATGGTGCCCTCCAGGATTTCGTGGGACTTTTTTCAGAATTTTGCTGCCTAAAATGAATAATTTTCCTGTAGCTTTTCTTAACATTTGCAGCAATATTTTTGGTCTTATTTTATGTTGATTTGCTGTTAAAGAAATTATACCACAGACAAAAGTCTTTATTAAATATAGTTTTTATTACTCCGAGACCCAGACACTGGGTTCTGGAACTTACATTTAAAAGATACTGTATGTTTAAAAAAGGGCTAATAATTCTGACTTCAGCTGCTGGTAAATGGAAACAGAAGCCACCTACTATCAGGATGTGTGTAAAATAATGGCTAAGCGAGGGTTGTTTGCGTCCACATAGCCTTTGTTTTGGGTAAATCTGTGTCATGATGACGTCATAGAAATCGTCAACACCTCGAATTTCAGAAAAAATACGCCAAATTTTCCAGAGTTTGCTGGATTTTGCGATAATATCAGCGATTGCGAAATCATGAAATCCTGGAGGGACTGACTATTGCTCTAATTTGGCTGCAAGTCATTTACAGTTAACGCATTCACACTGTGTACCACACATGGTGGAGTGTCGTGATTATTTGGTTTCTTTAGTGATACTATTGCACTTATTGCACATATCATTTATGTATGATACTGAACATAATGTACATCAGTTATCACAATGATTGGTCCCACTATTAGATATAATACACTAATATGCACTTTAATCACAGACAATACAGTGTAATAGGCCTTTATTAAAAAGAACGGTGCAAAAACTAAATTTAAACAATAGGCAGTTACATGCAGCAAAAGAAGTCACACAGATTGCTTGTGGCACTGCACAATGTACATTCATAGTTTTTCATCTTACGTCAGCTTCAATGACATCAGGGTGCTTTTGTGTGAAGGGTCATTTTTAACCAAATTAACAGAACATAACATGCACTTGTATGTCATTGTTAGTGTTGTGTGTAGATTTGAATGTACACTACCTGACAAAGGTCTTGTCGTCTGTCCAAGTTTTAGGAACAACTAATAATACTTGACTTTTAGTTGATTATTTGCGATCAGAAGTGGCTTGTATAAAAGGCAAAGGCCTCTAGATTATGCTTGAAGTAATCTGGAATGGCAAAGAAAGCTTTCTTGCAGGACTCCCAGAGTTCATCAAGGTTCTTTGGATTCATCTTCAATGCCTCCTCCTTCATCTTACCCTACACATGCTCAATAATGTTCATGTCTGGTGACTGGACAGGCCGATCCTGGAGCACCTTGAGCTTCTTTGCTTTCAGGAACTTTGATGTGGAGGCTGAAGTATGAGAAGGAGCGCTATCCTGCTGAAGAATTTGCCCTCTCCTGTGCTTTGTAATGTAATGGATTTCACAAATGTCTTGACACCTCAGGCTGTTGATGTTGTTATCCACTCTGCAGATTTCTCACACGCCCCCATACTGAATGTAAGCCCAAACCATGATTTTTCCTACACCAAACTTGACTGAGAATCTTAGGCTTATGCAGGTTCCAGTAGGTCTTCTGCAGTATTTGTGATGATTGGGATGCAGTTCAACAGATGATTCATCTGAATAAACTTACCGTCTGCCACTTTTCCAAACGATCAACTAGAAGTCAAGGTATTATTTGTTGCTCTTACAACTGGGATCGACGACAAGACTTTTGTTAAGTACCATGCTGATAATGCTGGCTAGATGTTTATCCATTAGTATCTACTAGTTCTGGTTGTATGTGTGTATGTGTAGTATATTATGGGCACATTGTGTATATTTAAAAAAAGGCTCGTGTGCTGGCTTGTAGTTTGCCATCCTTGTGCAGTTTCTTGATATATGATAACATGTTTAAATATATGAAAGCATGTTGTTCATGCTGCAGTCATTGACTTTACTGTATTCGCATGGCCAATTATGTGCTACATCCTAAAGGCTTCGAACTGTCCCCATTAGTCTAAAAGATATTGGAGAATGTGGCCCTTATGCCTTCTAACATATTACATCTGTTTATTATATACGAACAGCCAGAATCACCTAAAGCAGTCAAACTCCAGGCAAGTTCCCTTTAAGCTTTTTTTTTATTCCTGCTCTGCTTGTGCATGCAAAACTAACCTCCTGTATAAAATACGACTGGGATATAGTCAATTTAAAGGGACATGTTTCTGTATACTGGGAATTTTTGTCATATAAACAAAGATTGTATTAATTTACTGGTGATTTATTTGTCACATGTTTGTTAAATGCTTTTGAATATATGCACTCTGCTCTGTCCTTCATGTAGGGTTATTGTAAGCATCTTTAATGCTGGATGAAACGTATAAGAGATTAACCTAGTTAACATCTATGGATGGCTGGGGCCAGAACGTATACAGTATTTAAGCTTGCATGACGTAACAACTGTCATTTAAATAGCATTTTCGTATTTAGCCTTGTACATTGATGACGCATTTCAGATCTTTGCATGTTAAATCATTTAATGTATTATAAAGTGTTTATTATTTAGACGAGCCACATTCTAAACCAGCCAGAAATTGAGAATGCTTCCTTTAGGAATATTCACAACTCATTTCTGTTCAGTTTGAAGTCACCCCTTTGCTATGCGTGTTCTGTCTGTCACATGTTTGTGTATTTCCTGCTGTGTGATATTAATACCTCTGTGTTTCCATCATAATAATTTGATTACAGAACGGAATCCTGTTTTATGTGAGTAGCTTGTAGTTCTTTGTTTTATTTCCCTCCATTTTCTTTCGTCTGTCTCCCCATAGTTCTTACTGCTTACTATTTTTGTTCATTCTACTTTTTAAATAGTTTTTTTACTAACCACTTCCCATTCTGCCATGTAACATCGGCTTAATTTTTTTTCCTGGTTTCTAAATCCTACACTTTTGGGGTGATGTATCTCTGTTAAACAAAATTCTGCATGTAAAAGTACTGCATAGTTGTGGGTCCCCATTCTAAAATCACATGCTGTCCATTCATTCAGTTGGAAGTTTCTGGAATGTCCATTTACAAAGAGCAGCTCAAATGCCAGTAGTTCTTGGCACAGTTTCTTTAATGATGGAAGTAAATTAGGGTGTGTTCACATTTTGCTGGTTTGGTTCTATTAAAACACAAAGTGGGGGGTCTTGGTCTGCTTTCAAATGATTTTGAGTGCTGTTTGACTGAAATATGAGTGCAACATGGACCAAAAGAAATGAAAAATAACCCATATCAGAACCTGATGTCAAAAGATGTGCCTTTATTACTTAGTAATGCAGCTTAGCAGTTATTTTTGTCTTGATGTTTTGCGTTACAGTTCAATATGGTTGTCTGAAACTCGCCTTCATGTATTATAAGCTTTTTAAAAGGTCATTATGGATAAAAATACCATCACTTTACACTAAAAGGACACATAGCATTGTATTAGATGTTTAGTACATTTTAAACAGTAGGGCTGTGCGATATGACGACAGTTTCATAACACAATATGTCATCTCATGTTCTGATAATAATATACATCACTATATAGTACCTTTGTCTGCATGTACATTGACCACGTGGAAAATTTACTACTAATAATAATAAAACGGTCTTAAATTTCACTCAGTAAAATGCTAAATGTAAACCTTTTAAGACTGACGATAGACTTTTTATTTTGACCTTAAGACATACTCACCGGCCACTTTATTAGGTACACCTTACTAGTACCGGGTTGGACCCCCTATTTGCCTTCAGAACTGTATTAATCCTTCGTGGCATAGATTCCACAAGCTGCAGGAAATAGTACTTAGAGATTTTGGTCCATATTGACTGATACCATTAGCAGTTGCTGCAGATTTGTCGACTGTACATCCATGATGCGAATCTCCCGTTCCACCACATCCCAAAGATGTACTCTATTGGATTGAGATCTGGTGACTGGAGGCCCTTTGAGTACAGTAAACTCATTGTCATGTTCAAGTCTGAGATGATTTACGTTTTATGACATGGTGCGTTATCCTGCTGGAAGTAGCCATCAGAAGATCGGTACACTGTGGTCATAAACGGATTGGTCAGCAACAATACTCAAGTAGGCTGTGGCATTGACATGATGCTCAATGGGTACTAATGGGCCCAAGGTGTGCCAAAAACATATCCCCCACACCATTACACCACCACCACCAGCCTGAACCATTGATAAAAGGCAGGATGGATCCATGCTTTCATGTCGCTGATGCTAAATTCTGACCTGACCATCCAAATGTCGCAGTAGAAATCGAGCCTCATCAGACCAGGCAACGTTTTTCCAATCTTCTATTGTCTAATTTTGTTGAGCCTGTGCGAATTGTAGCCTCAGTTTCCTATTTTTTAGCTGACAAGAGTGGCACCCAATGTGGGCTTCTGCTGCTGTAGTCCATCCGCCTCATGTTTGACGTGTTTTGTGTTCAGAGATGCTCTTCTGCAGACCTCTGTTGTAACGAGTGCTTATTTGAGTTACTGTTGCCTTTCTATCAGCTCCAACCAGTCTGGCCATTCTCCACTGGCATCAACAAGGCATTTGCGCCCACAGAACTACCACTCACTGGATATTTTCTCTTTTTCCGGCCATTCTCTGTGAACCCAAGAGATGGTTGTGGAAATCCCAGTAGATCAACAGTTTCTGAAATACTCAGACCAGCCCGTCTGGCACCAACAACTATGCCATGCTCAAAGTCACTTTCACCTTTTAAAATCACCTTTCTTCCGAACTTTTATGTTCAGTTTGAACTGCAGCAGACCATGTCTAAATGCATTGGGTTGCTGCCATGTGATTGGCTGATTAGAAATTTGCATTGATGAGCAGTTAGACAGGTGTACCTAATAATGTGGCCGGTGAGTGTGTATGCCCTACAAAAGAATATAGCAGTAGAATATGTCTTAAAGGTCTTTTTTTTTTTTTTTGTATCTTTAGACTTCATCTTAACAAAATGCAGTGTGGATACCAAGCAAACCATGACTAAATGCAGATTTTTTTTTCTAGACCAAATAAACCAAGAGAACTAAGCTACAAGTGTGAACAAACCCTTAAACCATCAGACTTTCTAGAAAAGTTGTCACTAGCAGCTTTTGTATAAATGTTTTCCTACAAAGCTTCCCTACTATTGCTTTTTTCAAAGTTCACTCCAGTCTCCTAGATACACCAAAATATGTTTAAACAGTTTAGCTATTAAATACAATTGGATGGATGCTGCAGTCTATTTTCACCCTTTTGTAATATTGGATTTCCAAAAGCATGAAAGTGTTCAAACTTTAAACCACAAAGCCTCCCTGGACTTTATCCACTCTTCTTCTGCCATTTGGTTTACGTAATGGGAACAAGAGTGTCAAATCACAGTGGTCATTCTCTTTTGCCGTGTTGTGTTCCTGTGTCACGACAACAGCAAGAACAATGGGACACCTGTCCAAACTTCCTATCAGGTGGACGTGGACAACACTGAGGGGCGTTAGGGGGGTGGATGTCCCAGATTTGCTGCTGAGATGCAGGCTAGCTCTGTGATGTGGCACAGTGGGACTTTGGGCGTCTGTCGTTGCTAATTTGAGGAGTTTCCTCTCCAACCCCCAGTGCCTGCGTTTCAGATTTTGAGCAAAAACCCTCTCATGGCAACCCATGCTTTAATTAGGTTTGTAGGGTAGTGTATTTTTAACTTCAGCTAGATGTTCTGCTTCTGGTTTAGGGTCAAATGCAGAAAGCTGGCTTTACTGTAGAAGCAAGCAAACGTATATCTATACATATATTTAAATTAGTGCTGGGCAAAGATTAAACTTGATTAATCGCATCCAAAAAAAAAAAAGTTTGACTTGACCTGTGCATATTATTATTTATTTTAACTTTTTTTAAAAAGGAAAACAGTCACTGTTGGTTTTAAGCAATGTGTGTTTTAATTTTAGTTGTTCAGCGGTGATGTTCAATAAATAATTGTAGATAGTGTGTGTTTCCTTCAATTATTTTAAAATTCAGTAATGCACCCTTCATTCAGAAATCTTTCACTTGTATTATATGAGCATATTTACTATACAAAACTTGTCAGGTTATTTTTTAGGGCAAAAAAAATATATAAATAAATGAAATAATCATTCATTTAATCATAATCAAGCTAAAATGTTTAATTAATTAAGATTTAAATTTTAGGCCAAATTGGCCAGTCCTATTTTAGACAGGTTTTCTTTGGGGGAAATGCTTAACATTCATTACCTTTGATTCGTTTGTGTTCTGACCACATGTGCTTGGTTGTGTACTATATCAATAAAGTCTTTTATAAACACTGTTGTAATACATTGAACCACTAAACATTTAAACATTTTTCTACGGGAGGAAAACGCAAATGACCTTCAAATACTTGTCAAATATAATACAATATTATAAAAATATAGCCTGTGTTAGTAAATGCAAGGCTATTTATGAAATCCAGGCATAACACTGTATGTCAACGTTTCAAATGACTGTTTAGTGCCTACAGCTAATCAATCTGGCAGATTCTGAAGTGCATTAAAGTTTTAAATACAATTATAGATGGTAAATAATATTAAGTAAAACAAACACATTTAAAGATAAAAGTATTTAAAAATTTCTCTCACCTAGGAAATGGAGGCCACATGAATGGTTTGTGAGCACAATTAAGTGCTCAGTATGCTATCTGATAGTTCCGAAATTCTCTAATAATCCCAAAAGGCAACTGACTGTGTAAAGTCACTCAAAACTAAACAAAAATATGATGTATATGCCGAGTTCAGCGGCTAATCAGCTAGAATCAGCTGATGGTGATGAGACAGCAAGCAGCGAGAACTAGCTGTCACTCAAGAGGCCACGCCCTTAATTAAGGAGACTTAATATAAATGAATCGAATTGAGTTATAAACTAAATTCACTTCTCTCACAGTTGTCATGAAGGATGATTTTAGCTACATGCACCAAAACAATCTTGTGTACCAGGCTGTAAACATGTTTTTATCAGCTGTAAATTTGGCTAACTTAGCTTTGCAGTCATCTGGGGTTTGTGGAGCCAGCCCTCTGAGGCCAGTCGATGAATTGCAATTTCAGTTACTTCCATATTAGCTTCACAAGAGAGAGCAGGATGTTGCCGCTTGGTTTAATCATGATTAATCTCTGCCCAGCACTAATCTAGATCTAATAAAAATGTTGTGTTGGGATTTATTTATTCCCCCTTTTCCTAATTGAATGCTGCAGATCTGACATCAAAAACGAAAAGACTAAATTACTGCTGATTCCCTCAAGATTTTTATGATTTGGGGTTTTCAACTAACAAGTAACAAGTTCTTTGGTGAACAGCTTGCACTTGAATGTTTAGTCATATAAAAACAATACACACCGCATAGATTTTTATGCACTAATCTAGTAGAAAAATGAGCTGGTTTCAAATACATGTTTTAGTAATTCATGTTGTAGAGCATTATTTGGAAAGTTAATTTTTACCACAGGTCTTGATTTACTCACGAATTGAGAAAAAATCTGTTGGAAAATCCTGAGGAAGCCGCTGGTAAATTGGTCTTTTGTTTTTTGAGGTCACGGCTGCTGCACTTTATACGTTTAAATGTGTTAAAATGGATGATGATAAACTGATTTGATTTGCTTTGATTGATCGGTTGAACCTAACTAATAATACAGACTAACACAAGATGATCTGCAGTATACAATAATGGGATAGTTCATCCAAAAAATAAAGTTTTTTGCATTAATTTACTCCCTTAAAATTATTTGAGTTTGTTTCTTTCTGTTTTTCCTACTATGGAAGTTGATGGGTACCAACAATCAACATTTTTCCAAATACAGTGGTCCCTCGCTATAACACGGTTCACCTTTCGCGGCCTCAAAGTTTCTTTTGTGCAATTTGACATGCTTCTTTTCAAGACTTCTGTGTCTTGATTGACTGTAGACCATTGTCATTAAATCTCCTCCATGCCATGTCTCTGGAACAGTAAAGAATGTGTTCAGCTTGTCAGGTTTACACAAATCTTCGATCGCTAGCAGTGCTGTACAGGTTATTTGCAGGCCCCCCCCCAACAAATTCCACAATGTCGACGAAACATTCTGCACCATCAAAGGCACCTGCAGTAGCACCAAAAAGGCAGAGAAAGATGCTAACCATCGCTTAAAGTTCTTCTGGATATGATAAAGGAAGATAGAAGTTTTGCTGCTGTACAGCGTCCTTACAGAAAAAATAAATCTTTGGTTCGTTACATACAGGAGGAAGAAAATATTCTATAATACTGAACTTATTTTTCTAGGAAGGTTTGAACTTTGAGAGTGTTTAAACAACAGAGAAAAGTGTGAAAATTCAATTCATATAATGCTATTAATTGTTAATAGCAATAAATTCAATTAAATGTTAATGCCTGTCTAAAAAATTGTGTACAAAGTGTGTAGTGAGGGGGTTTTACAGCCTTAAAACATTTAGAATTGTATCAAACAAAGCTGACTACTTCGCTATTTCGCCTATTGCGGGTTAGTTCTAGAACGATACTCTGATTAACGGGGGACCACTGTATCTTCCTATGTGCTCAACAAAAGAAAGAAACTCATAAAGGTTTAACAGTAACATAAGGGAGAATAAATGATGAGGTAATTTGTGGATGAACTATCCCTTTTAGGCAGTAAATGCTTAAATTGTTATAGTATTAGAAAGGTTTCTGGTAGTTCAAATTTTTCCAAGCAGTTTTTTTTTTCCTCCAGATTTTTTTTCAGAACTTCAAATTTTGTCCGTACTTGTATGAAATGCAATCATCCTAGTGGTTAGTGTTTCTAATCAGTGACCATTGCTTTATAGGGAGAGTTGGAGCGTCAACTCCTACAGGCAAATCCTATTCTGGAATCCTTTGGAAATGCCAAAACAGTGAAAAATGACAACTCTTCACGTTTTGTAAGTTGACCAGTTACATCTAATCTGACTATTCCTATTGTTTTTCCGACTGTAATGTTGCTTCAACTTTAAAACATATAATTAATCTTTCTTTACTTAAGGCATTTGCACACATTTAGTGTGCATGTAGCATCTGAAAATGGACATTTAGGCACGCACGCGCACACACACACACACACACACACACACACACACACACACACACACTCACACACTCACACTCTCATCAAATCCACATTCAGCAGTCTGAAAGATCTAGGCGTCTGTCTTGCATCGGCTCTTCTGTCCAGCTGATTGAGTTTTCGCTGGCATGCGTTAAAGTCAGCAGAAAGCTTTTAAGCACACAAACAAATCAAAAGCCACAGAGGAATTTGTTTCTTCAGGCCTTCCTCTGGGGAATTATATTGGGGGCATTTGTTGCAAATAAGCATGTCTGTAAGCTTCTAATTACCAGTTTCGGCTTATACATACTCAAACCTCTCTGTCTGATCGATAACAAGACAACAATAATCTCTATTTATTCTTAGAGATGTTGGTTAGGCTCATAAAATATAATGATATTTCCATGATGCAATTGAATGGTTTGTAAAGCATGAACAGTAAAAAATCTGTCTTTCCACAGGGCAAGTTCATCCGCATCAACTTTGATGTAACCGGTTACATTGTGGGGGCCAACATTGAAACCTGTATCCTGATCTGATAGCCGTTCCATTACATTTAAGCAATACTGCAAACAGCTGTCAAGTCAAAGCAAGCATTCAGAAACACCGAAATAGTTGAGTTTGTGTATGCATCATCAATGTTAATGGTGCAACTTTCTATGAACTTTTAGAACAGCAACACCGTTTTGTACAGCTACAATAGATGGTATACAGTAGGAAAAAAAGTCATTTGAAGTAGTATCCCAGATAAACACCACATCATAAGCAAGCTTTGATTTAACAAATAAAATTGTTTTTACTATGAAAATGTTTGTACAACCCCAAAGCAGAAAAAGTTGAGACAGTATGGAAAACGCAAATAAAAAAAGAAAGAAGTGATTTCTAAATTTACTTAGACTTGTATTTCACTAAGACAATACAACAAACATTATTTAATGTGTTCCTCATGATTTTTTTTAATAAACAAATTCCAATTTTGGCTCTTGCAACAAATTTTTACTTTTAAATGCTATGGACACTGTTAACATATGGCTTCCATTTGACACAGTACAGTTTTCACTGGCATTTGTGGATGTGAATATGTATGGTGGTACTTGACGAAGGTTTGCCAAAGTAGCCCTGAGCCCATGTGGTGATATCTCATATAGATGATTGACAATTCTTGAAGCAGTGCCGCCTGAGAGATCAGAGGTCATGGTATAGTTCAGCTTAGACTTGCCCCCTTTGTCGGACTGTAATTCTTCCAGATTCCTTGAATCTTTTAATTATGCCATGCACTGTTGAAGGTGAATTATCGAAATGTCTTCCTATCTTCTTTGAGGAACATTGTTTTTAAACATTCAATAATTTTCTCATGTATTTGTTGGCAAATTGTTTATCCTCGGCCCATATTTGCTCCTAGTGGACTGGACCTTTCTTGGATGCAACTTTTTTACCAAATCATAATTATTATAGTTACCTGTTGACATCACCGGTTTCAAATCACATCCTTATTTAAACAATTCCTCTCATTACTAGCCGTAAATTGCTCCTGTCCCAACTCTTTTTTTTTTTTTTTTTAATGTGTTGCAAGAACCAAAATTTAAAACATGTTAATTTTAAAAAACACAAACAATGAAAATCATGAGCAACCCATTAAATAATGTTTGTTGTTTTGTCTGCAATAAAATATCCTACACTGTAAAAACTGTTCAGTTGACTTTACTTCAAATAAAGTGAGTAAACCCATTTTCTTAACATTATTAAGTTATTAGAGGTGTGTGTGTGTGTGTGTGTGTGTGTGTGTGTGTGTGTGTGTGTGTGTGTGTGTGTGTGTGTGTGTGTGTGTGTGTGTGTAATTCCTAAAAATTAAGTTAAATTAACTTAACAGTTCTGAATTACAAAATAATTACTTCCAGTTTTGAAGTAAGATCAACTTGTCTCTTTAAAGGCAATGGATTGACTCACTTCTTTTAAGTAATTGCTTCTTACAGTGAACTCTCCTAACTATTTTTCTGAGTTGGGGTTGTAAATTAAGGTGGCATTAAAAAATGTGTAAAACTTAACTTATTTGACACAAAGTGATATAAAATTGGCTGTACAATAGGCTTCACTTGCCCTTAACACAATCTCAAGATCTTCTTGAAAAGTCCAGGGCCATTCGCCAAGCCAAAGATGAACGCACCTTCCACGTCTTCTACCAGCTGTTGGCCGGTGCTGGAGAACATCTGAGATGTGAGTGATTCTTTTAACATGATGACTAGGGTATCTAGAAATGAACTTGCACTTAGATTAAAAAGTCTATATAAACATGTTTGTGTCCTTTAATAAATTTGGGATATTTTTAATAATAATAGTGATGATAAAAAGGAACAAACTTGCTATGAGGTCTGAGGTTGCTGTATGTTTTTGTTGAACCCATCTGTTCATATTGTTTTAAAGCTATACTGTTTAAATTTGTAAAGCCAAATGACATTAATGTGGAACATGTCACCAACTACAGCAATGTGAAATAAAAGTGCTCTTGAGCATAAATGCTGCTAACAATATAATCAAGTCTGCCTCCATGTGATCTCAGAATATATGATTTTATATTCTGCTTTTGTTTGTAATTTCATTACCAGTTGCAGTGCCTGATTGGATTGTAGTATATGAGTACATCGTTTCGTACCACCTTCTTATAGTCTGGTTTTCATGTACTACCTTGCTTCAAAAAATAGATTGTAATGTCTCCACGTAGTTATTTGGCTTGATTCATGTCTTGTAGTACTTTAAACTAAGACTTCTTTGAATATTTATGATAAAAATGAATTGTAGAAATGCCAGTGCTGATGGAAAAAAAAGGTAGCATGCGTTAACACTCCCTGTGATTGCAGTTGTGTGATTAATCCTCTTGTTCTTTTGGCAGCTGATCTACTCCTGGAGGGTTTCAATAGCTACCGCTTCCTCTCCAATGGTAACATTCCCATCCCTGGCCAACAGGACAAGGATAATTTCCAAGAGACCATGGAAGCCATGCATATTATGAGCTTCAATCATGAGGAAATCTTATGTAAGCATTCCTGAAACTTACACATCTCTATGTAGTTTATTTATTGCTGTTTTATATAGGCTTGCTAGTAAATCATAGTTCTTGTTAAGCATTTGTAGAATTTTCCCCCCTTTTTATTATTTGGATTAGATTACCTTTTGCATTCACTAGCCCAGTGTTTCCCAACCTTGTTTCTAAAGGCACACCAACAGTACACATTTTCAACCTCTCCCTAATCAAACACACCTGAATCAACTCATTAGAATATTATAAGAGACTCCAAAACCTGAAAATGGGTCGGATACTGTTGGTGTGCCTTTAGGAACAGGGTGGGGAAATACTGCACTAGCCCATGTGCAATGGTCCTGCGGTGGGATTATTCTCTTTTAATTAATGGGTTTTTAACAGTATGTGTTAAAATATCAAGCTGTCCACATTAACACATGCATTTTTTTATATTTTATAACTTAAATTACACAGTTTACCATACAAACTGAATATAAGCTACATCTCCAGTATACTTTTTCGCACCTTGACAAAGACTGTAGAAGCCGTCATGCCATTAAACACAAATAAACAGTTCAACACAGTTTAATTGTTTGTGTGTTTGAAAAGTTTGATTAGTGAGAACCAAAATTTGGCATAGATTTCTCAATATATAAAATCAGGTTTGCTTACAGATAAATAATTCCTTAATTAAACCAGTTAGGATCTTTAAAGAAATGTATAAAACTTATTTGATATATTTATGAAAGGTTAAGTGGAATTGTTATCAGATAATATAATTAATATTAAGTATACAAAAGTCTGCCAAGTTCTGGTCATAGTGGTTTTGTATTATAAGCATGCCACACTGGACAGAACTTTTTTATGTCAAATCCCTGCATACAGTTGAATGTCCTTGTTTTTCTGTCACTCCAGCAATGCTGAAGGTGGTTTCAGCCGTCCTGCAGTTTGGTAACATTGTGTTCAAGAAGGAGAGAAACACAGATCAGGCCTCTATGCCTGAAAACACAGGTACCACATACTCGCTCACCTGTTTCAAAGGCATTTTTGATGGGGGGTGGGGGTGGTGATTGGGAGGCTATGATGGGCAAGGGCTGATGTCTCATGTGTTGTGCGTTTTCAGTGGTGTGGTGTAGATGTAGAGCTGTTCAGAAACGCAAGGTGAAACGCTAGTATGGACGCGGATCGTTTTCATTCTAAAATGTCATTTTGAAACTTAAACATACTAGTGTAAATGGGGCCTTAGACCGTACTCACACTAGGTATAGTTGCCTCGAACCGGGCCAAAGCACGCTTGTCCCCCCTTCCTTCTCCCTCGACGGCCCGCGCTCACACCACAAACGGGCCTGGGCACGCTTACGTCATCGCTGCTGCGCTGTTCAGTGAGAAGCGCTCTCTCACTCGGCAGCACAGTGGAGATTTCTCTAGTTATATCGTTTCAGTCGTTTGTTATGCAGTGACATGCAGTCAAATATTTCGCCAAGCAGTCCTTAGGGATGCGGTGACACGCAGTCAGATATTTCGCTGAACAGATCCGCCACTTTTGACGCTCATAAACAATCATAAAGCCCTCGGGCTGTAGGAATGAGGACGTCTGCTGAAGCCGCGCAGCTGTCGTGCTGTGAGCAGTTCTTGTCTTTAATAAACTACGGCAGTTTGCGTTCACTGAACAGTAAGAATGATTAATAAATCCATATGAAATAGCCCCTTAAAAGTCACGACTCGCTTTTAGTTTCGGGCTTTGTCGCGTTTTGCACTCACACACAAGCGCACCGTGCCAAAGCCCAAGTGAACCGCGCTCAGACACACCTCTTCCAACCGGGCCAGGGCCGGCCAAGTGAACCGTGCTTGAGCCCGATTCAGCGCACTCACACTTCTCAAACGATCCGGGAAACAGGCCTGGGCATGGTACGGATGGCATAGTGTGAGTAGGCCCTTAGAGACATTCTGGCAACACCTGAGCCTTTTATTGCCTGTTGTAAAAAGAGCATAATAGGAACATTATAAATTTTTCAAAATTGCAAAAAGCCCTATTTTAACTTCCTAATGTGTGTGTGTTAAAAATACTCATGTGTGTGCATAGTAATGCTTGTCACAAACAATCTATCTGTGTAATAATGGATTTCTTATAATTTTCAATCAAGTATCATAACCTTCTTTCTCCTCTTGAAATTACTTTTTGAAAAAAGGACTTAACTTCCGTTTTATGGTGACTTTAAAGTGACGTATAAAAACAAGGCGTTTTTTTTGTATTTACCCAAGCTGTTTTTGTTTTTCTCACAGCACAATATAATAAACGTTCTGTGGGGTATTTTAAACTTAAACTTTAGAGACATTCTGGCAACACCTGAGCCTTTTATTGCCTGTTGTAAAAAGGGGCATAATAGGAACATTATAAAGATTGCAAAATTGCATAAAGCCTTATTTTAGCACTGAGTTAACATCTTTTTTCAGTAATGGAAATTTGAATGCATTATGTGATCGTACTTCAATAACTCCATAAATCATTTGGCAGTGCATTAGCATTAAAGTGTGTTCAGTATCCAGACTGCCCTCCAGTATAACCCATGCACCAGATGTGCACTGCGTTGTTTTGACAAATTACCCGTTGGACTTTGCTTGGGCTCTTTTAGTGACAGCTCGAATGGTTCCTGGATCCATTTCATATTAAAAGAAAATACCAGAATAGTTGTGCTAAATCAAAACGCGTTTACGTAAGAGCCTCAGAAGCAACCGTTTTTTACAGCCACGATGCATTCCAGCAGGCTTACTCCACTGGCGTTTGAATTAATTTATTTTTATTCTCACCGTTAATGGAAAGATATTGAAACTTTCTTCTGTTTAAGCCACGGTTCAAGCTTTTGCATTCGTAACATAAAGCTAGAAAGTTATAGTTCTGCTGGTGGTCCTGAAGGGGAACTTTTTATGGCTGCAGAATGAGCTGTATGGATTTAAAAGTCAGTAAATTGCAATAACGACCTGGGTTATTTGAAATATCTTTTATACACGAGCAAATATGCCTTATAATAACTTCTCTCACCACCATTTAAGTGCATAAGGGAAGCTCCTAAAATCCTATAACTCGAGAAGGAATCGTACCATTTTTGGTCAGTTTGCATACAGATATTTTTTTCATCTTTCATTTTTATTTCTATAGCGCTTTTATTCTGTAGGTTGTGTCAAAGCAGCTTAACATAGAAGTTCTAGTAAATTGAATATGAACGCTCATCGTGAAGAAGCTGCATGTGTGAGTAGGTCACTAGTCTCAAGCTCTTCCCTCCTTCATGACCGCCACAGCATCTGCTCAGAATACGGCCTGATCTAGTATTAAGGAGACCTCGAGATAATAAAAAAACAGACTAACATAAGCATAGATGCCATTCAAATTATACGTTTTTTTGGGAAGTGTTCCTGGTTCCGGTTGCCCTAATTAACCTCCTTGGGCAGGGGTGTCCAAACTCTGTCCTGGAGGGCCGGTGTCCTGCAGATTTTAGCTCCAACTTGCCTCAACACGCTTGCAGGGATGTGTCTAGAAAGCCTAGTTAGAGCTTAATTAGCTAGCCCAGGTGTGTCTGATTGGGGTTGGAACTAAACTTTGCAGGACACTGGCCCTCCAGGACCAAGTTTGGGCACCCCTGTCCTAAGGCTTAGTGGCCACATACGTGGACAGCGCATTTTAGCTTTTATGTTTTATGTTTTGTTACTAATTTCGAAAGGAGCACGTGGTTATGATTGAACACGACTGGTCCTGCATTAGCCAATTCATGATTTACCAATCAGATGATTCCTAATTCACTATAATGTAAATAAGCAGAGTTTCTCAGTTATCTTCGCCTTGAAGGATCCCTCCTTCCACCCCTACTCCTCCACCTTTTTCTCTATAGGGCGGCACGGTGGCCCAGTGGTTAGCACTGATACCTCACAGCAAGAATGTCACTGGTCCAAACCCTTAACAGGCCAGCTGTTGATTCTGTGCAGAGTTTACATAATCTTCCCATGCTCGCGTGGGTTTCCCCCGGGTTCTCCGGTTTCCTCCCACAGCCAAAAAAACATGTGTCATAAGTGAATTGATCAATTTAAATTAACACTATAGTCGAATTCCTAACCAGCAGTATTTTTTTCTACACAGCAAATTTGATCTGTCATCAACTCTAAAAAAATGGTGGATAGTTCTCCAGACCTACCTGAGCTCAAACTCCCTTCTTGCCCAACAAACGGGAGGGAGCCCCGGACTCAAGGATCTTATGAGCTCAGGGCTCTCTCCCAGGACAGCTTCCCAAACTCACTTTATAATCAATCATCAGCTATGTGTGAACTCTTGAACAATCCTTTAGAGGACTTGGATTTTAAAAGCATTTGTGTTTTATGTGTTTTCAGCTGCTCAAAAACTTTGCCACCTGCTCGGAATGAATGTCATGGAGTTCACTCGTGCTATCCTGTCTCCAAGAATCAAAGTGGGCAGAGACTACGTACAGAAAGCCCAAACTAAAGAACAGGTAATGAGATAATCACTTCCCCTTTGTAAATCTGTCAGATCACCACCCCTTCAGCTATAAGACAATGTTTTCTTTTGGATCCTGATAATTTCCCTTTGTACCTCTCTGTCCATTTACAACAATAGGCTTACAGTGTCCTGTCATAAAATTGTCATCACTATTATTCACATTTAACTGTGCAAATGAATGCTTTTCTTAACATTTAAAAGTCCTGTGATATTAAAAAAAAAAAAAAAAAAAAAAAAAAAAATATATATATATATATATATATATATATATATATATATATATATATATATATATATATATATATATATATATATATATATATATATATATATATATATATAAGCTAGTTTTAAGGATATCTATTAGCTAGCTGTTCCAAAACAGTGAAAATTCACATTTACACTTCCTGACAAAAGTCCTGTTGTCAATTCCAGTTGTAAGAGCAGCAAATAATAACTTCTAGTTGATCATTTGGAAAAGTGTCAGAAGGTGGATTTTTCAGATGAATCATCTGTTGAACTGCATCCCAATCATCACAAATACTGCAGAAGACCTACTGGAACCTGCATGAACCCAAGATTCTCACAGAAATCAGTCAAGTTTGGTGAAGGAAAAGTCATGGTTTGGGGTTACATTCAGTATGGAGGTGTGCGAGAGATCTGCGGCGTGAATAGTAACTTCAACAGCCTGAGGTATCAAGACATTCGTGCTGCCCATTACATTACAAACCACAGGAGAGGGCAAATTCTTCATCAGGATAGCGCTCCTTCTCATACTTCAGCCTCCACATCAAAGTTCCTGAAAGCAAAGAAGGTCAAGGATTGCTCCAGGATTGGCCAGCCCAGTCACCAGAGATGAACATTATTGAGTATGTCTGGAGTAAAATGAAGGAGGCATTGAAGATGAACCCAAAGAATCTTGATGAACTCTCGGAGTCCTGCAAGAACACTTTCTTTGCCGTTCCAGATGACTTTATTAATAGGTGATTTGAGTCTTTGCAGAGATGTTTGGATGCAGTCCTCCAAGCTCATGGGAGTCAAACACAATATTAAATCTTTTTCCACTGCACCATCACTTTATATTCTTTACTGTGCATTATTTTTTTAAGTGACAAGGCAATTTGTCTAAGCAAAGTCAGACCTTACTGTCCTAATTAAATAATTAAAAAGCAAGGTATGATCATATTTTATTCTGGTAAAATAAGTGTAATCTAGAGGCCTTTGCCTTTCATATAATCCTCTTCTGATACCAAATAGTCAACTAGAAGTCAAGTTATTATTTGTTGTTCCTAAAACTTGCATAGGAGACAAAACTCTTGTCAGGTTGTGTACATAATATAAAATGTGCTTGAGTTTCACCACTCTCACTGGCAGTTGAGATTACGTCAAACATCGAATAAAAAATGCCCATTTCAAAGCACTTCATTGGCCTTTTTAAAATTGTAAGAAATTTTTTTTTAAATAAAAACAATTGCAATAATAATTGGAGCAAAACTAACATAATTACTAATTAAAATCTTAATGTTTAGTCTTAGATTATATTTTGTGTTTTTGCATTAATATTAGCTTGATTATATGTTCTAATGCAAAGGTTTGTTGACTTTCTCTGTTTCTCTATCTAGGCTGACTTTGCAGTGGAAGCCCTGGCCAAGGCCACTTATGAAAGGTTGTTCCGCTGGCTTGTTCACCGCATTAATAAAGCTCTGGACAGAACCAAGCGCCAGGGAGCTTCCTTTATTGGCATCCTGGATATTGCTGGCTTTGAGATTTTCCAGGTGCGGCTTCCTCGGGTTTAGTGCTCAGCTGTCTGTTAGATATTAATCACTATGCTGCCACAAATCAGAGCTTGTGCGATTGAATGTTTTTAGAAATTCAGGCAATGCAAGTACCTGAAAATGCTAAAAGTTTCTGTACTTTTGATTTTAAACATCAAATATCACAGATTTACACTCACCGGCCACTTTATTAGGTACACCCGTCCAGCTGCTCGTTTACACAAATTTCTAATCAGCCAATCACGTGGCAGCTACTCAATGCATTTAAGCATGTAAACATGGTCAAGACGATCTGCTGCAGTTTAAACCAGGCATCAGAATGCGGAAGAAAGGTGATTTAAGTGACTTTGAACATGGCATGGTTGTTGGAGCCAGACAGGCTTTTCTGAGTATTTCAGAAACTGCTGATCTACTGGAATTTTCATGCACAACCATCTCTAGGGTTTACAGAGAATGATCAGAAAAAGAGAAAAGTAAGCAGGAGTTATGTGGGCCCAAATGCCTCTATTGATACCAAAGGTCAAAGCAGAATGGCCAGACTAGTAAGGAAAGGCAACAGTAACTCAAATAACCACTCATTACAACCGAGGTATGCAGAAGAGCATCTCTGAACACACAACACGTCTAACCTTGAGGTGGATTTTCAGATGCCTTCAATTGATTGATATTTTTTCATTTTTAAAAAAAGTGTAATATCAGAAATGCTAAATATATTTGAATGGACTCTAGAACTAAATGCATGTAAAACATTGTAAAAATGATTAAATTTAAATCTGTCATTCGGATGAGATGTTAAATCGAGGTCCTGACTCTCTGTTGTCATTAAAAATCCCATGGCACTTCTCGTAAAGAGTAAGGGTATAACAAAAGTGTCCTGGCCAAATTCCCTCCATCGACCCTTAGGATCATGGCCTCCTAATCATCCCCATCCACTAAATTGGCTCTATCACTGTCTCTCCACTCCTCCTACAGCTGGTGTGTGGTGTGCGCACTTTTCGCTGTTGTCCTGTGGTTGCCGTCACATCATCCAAGTGGATGCTGCACACTGGTGTCGGTGTAGAGAGACCCCCCCATGATTGTGAAGCGCTTTGTGTATATGACCATACACAAAACATGCACTATATAAATTCACATTACTTACTTACTAGATAATGTCAATATTATATTATTTAAATGTAATTGATTAAACATTCTTATTCATTATTAGATTTTAGTTGTGCTAAATCATTAAAAACATTGTCCAGAAAAATGTACATGTAAATGGAAACTAATTTTACAAATATAAAAATAAACTTCCTAAAGATTTGAAGATATGACAATTGTAAAACTTAATACATTTTGTTGTTATAAATTAAAAAACAACAACAAATTAATTTTGAGTACAAAACCTAGTTATTGCTCATTTGAGCTTTCTTCTTTCAGGTTTCATCTCAGAGCTGGACTTTGCTTTGGATAAGATGCATCTGCTAAATTGAATAATATAATTATGACTTTGTTAGGAAACCAAATAACAAGGTTTACAGTAAACAGTGTAATTGGACACCCACTCATAGCTGCGATATCCAGTTAGTTGATATCGATGTTGCAGATCTTGGTTAAAGAGCCAATTAGGCCTGTTCTGGGGCTAAAAATACTACGGACAAAGACAACTCATTCATGCTTAATTCTCTTCTATCTCTCTGTAGCTCAACTCATTCGAGCAGCTTTGTATCAACTACACCAATGAGAAGCTCCAGCAGCTCTTCAACCACACCATGTTCATCCTGGAGCAGGAGGAGTATCAGCGGGAAGGCATCGAATGGAGCTTCATCGACTTCGGCCTCGACCTGCAGCCCTGCATTGACCTCATTGAGAGACCCGTGAGCAGCTATTCGCAAATGAAATTGTCCTTAAATTGGTTGATAGAAATGTTTTTGCTCCTACTTTATATTACAGGGTGACTGCGGGGTCTTAAATAAAAAAAAAAACGAATTTTTTTACAATATTTACTGTACACAATAAGTACATTGTAACTGAATAATTTCAGTGTAAGTACATATTAGTTATGGACACTTGATATGAATTAGGACTATATTTTCTAACCCAGATTTGAATGGCAGTAAAGAATGTTTTCCTTTGGCTTTTCTGCAAATATAGTTGTCCTAAATGGTCATTTTTTTGTACTTCTTAGGCAAATCCTCCTGGCGTGTTGGCTCTGTTGGATGAGGAATGCTGGTTCCCCAAAGCCACAGATAAAACCTTTGTGGACAAACTTGTTCAAGAGCAAGGCACCCATGGAAAGTTCCAGAAACCACGGCAGCTGAAGGACAAAGCCGATTTCTGTATCATTCACTATGCTGGAAGGGTATGTTTACATTTATGATGCCACACTTACTTTAGGCCCACACAGAATCTGCGGATCCGAATGGATTTGCATTGTAAACATTAAATAAATGTTAAAATTTTTTTTTTTTTGCCATAACATTTTTTATTTTCATTTTCAGTTTGTACACATTTAAATACAACACTTTACGTACATTTTTATACAACAATAACCTTGCTGCATTTACAAATTATATAAAATAAAAGGATATCTATATATATTAAAAACTAAGCAAAAACAAACATCAAACAAACAAACAAAAAAAAAACGCTCATTTTTTCGTTAATCTTTTCAAAAGTGATCATTATAATGCTTCTGAGTACAATGTACAGCAAATATATATTGAAGAGTGTGTCAATACAGATAGGGAAGACTAGTACTACATTGTCCACACAAAACTTATTCCTCAACTTTTTCCTCTGTTAATTCCACATCTTTGGTTTAACTGATGATAGCACTCCATTAGCCTTATTATACACCCGGCGCAATAAGCTGCAAGACGTGCTTGTCACGATTTGTTGCTATTTTCAGGCCAGCACAACAGTTATTTTTATTACTATTTTTTATTTTTCATATTATTTATTAGATGCCTTTTTATATTTGTTGTAATAAAAACAAGTTTAGATTTGTCCACCTGTCGAGTTTTAGACCATATGGGGCATAAGAATAGATGTGTGTTTGGATATAACTCGCTTTTTTATTATTGTTCATTTATTTTTTTGCTGGAAATTGGAACTGAATTTAGAAATAGTTTTGAAACACATCTTTGTGCCTAACAAACGAAATGAAATATGTCAGCTAATGGATGTGTACAACAGTTTCCTCATCCACGAAAGTAGAAGTGTAAAGTAAAAAGTAAACATTAAGTAAAGAGGCCAAATGGAGTACACTCATTCTTTATCCCCGCACTGCAGATGCTCTGTTAACCATTGTCTCACTAGTGAAGTTCTCAGTTTTCCACTTACAAGATCCGCCATCTAAATAGAAAACACTATTGACTCTTAAAGGGAATGCCGGATGACACTATGGTTGGTTTCATGCTCAAAGCTTACCGTAACTTATTAAGAGAATAAGCACAACACCATTAGACCATGAGTCGTGGCGCAGAAGCTGTCCGTAAAATAGCAAAAGTGGATTCAGACAGAGCCTTAATGCTTTTGCGCCATGCCCTTTAGACTTTGCGCCTAGATCATTGAAATAGAGCCCCATATGTTTTCAAATATATGCTGTTTAGCTTTTAGTATGCGATTTATATTTCTAATGGAAGGCTTGAAAACATCTGTCTTATCCATTGAGTAGTGTTTGGTCTTTGCGTTTTTGTCCATAGCAAAGCTACACATAATTTGGCATAAAGCAAGCTGAGGTCTATAGATACTTATTCGCTTCTTTAGTTATTTTTGTTATATATATTATGTTTTCAGTTTTGATTTTCCCAAAATCATTCCGCATAAATCCACAGATTTTTTACAAAATTTTGCTCAGAAATAAATAGATTTTGTGTGGCCCTTCTTATAAGGTGCGATATTTACCTTTTGTGCTTCAGTCTGAATTCAGCCCAGTTGTTAATGTTTAAAAGAAGCCTGGAATGCATGGTAACCTTATGTAATTGGATTTAGTCAGGTCATCCTGGCTTGCAGTTGAAATGTTGCATTGCTGTCTTTCGAGTGCTGCAGAATCCAGCTGTGGTATGTGCTAACCATAGGCCACATCTGGTTCAGATCAGCAAACTGTTTGCAATAGAAACTTGACGCTGCATGAAATGAGGAACTTTTAATATTTCTCTCCCTGAGAGCTGTTTTTAGGTTAAAAGCCAGAAAATTGCTGCTTGCTTTGTTTCCTGTTGTTTAAGAAAAGAACTAAAACGGTTGATTTATACCTTCAGTAATACTTCTATAAGACTATGCAAACAGCCAATGACTACCGAACTGCAGAAGCACAGAATCCAGACTGTGCAGGAGTAATTCAGTTTTTCTCATTCTGAGTGTTAGTTTATTAATGCAGTGCTTATTTCCTTTTATTCTGCAGGTTGATTATAAGGCTGATGAGTGGTTAATGAAAAACATGGACCCTCTGAATGACAATGTGGCTACGCTTCTGCATCAGTCCACGGATAAGTTTGTGGCTGAGCTGTGGAAGGACGGTAAGCAGTTTCTTCTCAACATGTGAAATATTAAACGACCCATTTTTATTGCTCTCGCCCTCCCACTCTGTGAAGAAAGAGACTGTTGTTTTCAATCCTCAGTTTCATGTATTTAAGAAAAAAGAGCTTGTCATGCATTTCAATGGCTTGTGCGAATATCTTAACATAGCAGGAGAGAACTATTAATCCAAGAGGAGAAATGTCAAACAAGAGATTTTGCAATGTATATACCACAGCTGATGTTTTTATATGCTATAAGTGAGAAAGACTGCTTTACATTTGGAATATGTAAATACAAGTGAGAGCAGGGAAGACATATTTAATAGTGTTAAAATACAGAGTGGGACGTGCATGTTTGGTGGCTTTATTTTATGACAGCTTTTTCACTGCGATTCTAGAAAAAATAACACTGTATGTGTGTCAAAGACAAGGCAAATATTTTACAATTAATTTAACATGTAATGAATTTATTTAAAAGTGATTTTATATAGAAGGAAAACATAATAATGCGAGTGCAGTGTCTTTTTTAAATATTTCAAAAGTCTTTTGTGTACATAAATTGCAAAAAAAATGATATTGTATTATTATATTATCATTCAGTAGCTGTGTTCTAAATCACATTCTGCATCTTCTGAAAGTTGAAACTGATTGAGTCACCAAATGTCAGCAGAGAAATACCGAATTACACTTTAAAATGCACCATAAGTATATTGTTTCAAACAGTACTTCAAAAATTCCTTTTCTTATATTTTTTTGTCTTGTTTCTAATCCAAATGTCTAAAAATACTTAAAGGTGCAGTAGGTGATCTGCCAAAATGCTAACCGCTTAGCATATTATCTTTGGATGGCGGGGAGGGACTGGGATTTCAAAGCCACACCTCCTGAAATTGTGAGCGCGCACCGCGTCACAACAGCAGACAGACAACCCACTAGTTCATGTCATTCGGCAGTTAGTTAGTGTTAAGCCAGCGCCGTGCAGAAATTACATTTATAACTTAGCCACACTTACATGCTTTTTCAGAGCGAATATTCAGAGTAGCATGGTAAACAGTATTGGAAGGCTGTCATTGTTCAAAATTGACCCAATGTGAATAAAAAAGCAACTTCAGCTCAATAAAGCAGGTTAGGCGAAATAGCACTATTTTCTGATGTTTTGTTGTTAAACTAAATATAAATCTACATTATCGATGCTGTCAAAGGACCTTATGAAACTGAAAATAATCCCATCAATCTTTCACCGGGAGATTTCAGTGGCTTAACAACACGTCTGTGCATATAAGTCATTCATAACAGAACGCAATCTAACATAAGCTAAGTCCGACTAAAACAGTTTTAAAACAGAACATTACCTGTCTAACTGTAATACTTCAGCCATGGTTTCGTCTTTCCTCCAGTGTGCTAAAGTAACTCGGATATTGATTCAGGTTTTTAAAAGTTTCAATTCAGCATTTGATTTCTCCCGGTCTGTCTCGTGACCGCGCGGCGCTTCTGCAGACAGGCACGTGCGAATGGCGGATCTGCTTGAACAGTTGCGCAGAAGTCCAAATCGACATTTGCTGACGGACAGTCTGAGCTGCTTATCGGAATTGTGGGAGATGTCGGTCCGACAATATTTAATGGATGAACATTTTTTAGTTTTATGCTTTACCCAGAATATAGAAATACATATAAACACATTTAGATCATTTACTGTAATCATTACTATTGGACTGTGTGGAGACTTTCAACCAGCACAACAACAAATGTTTCTGAAGACAAAAACCTACTGCACCTTTAAATCAAAAAGCATTTTCTAGGCAAGCAAAAAATCTTTGAATTATTTTAAGAAATAATAAGTCAAAATTAAGTGAGTTATAAATGCGGTTGGCAGTATAATCTTAAATCAAAAGGAAAAACAAGATTCTGTTGGTTACCTCATTGGTAGGTTATTTTGAAAAAAATGTTTTTTCTTAAAACATGCAATATTTTTTGCTGCTGGGTTTAAGAAGTTTTAGGACTAGACACAAGACAAAAAGGTTTCAAGTCAGAAAAGCATTTTTTTGCTCTGTAAAATGTTCAAAAACCACTGAATATGCAGTTTGTTAGCAGTATTTCAGTGTAACAATTCATTTTAAAGAGCCCCTTATTATGCATTATAAAATGTCATATTTTGGTTTGGGGTGTCTCCAACAACAGGCTGATAAACATGCAAGGTCAAAAAACACTTTCATTGTCTTAGAAAATGCATTTATTTGACTTAATTATCCCAACGACTCCCATATACTTGTACAGAGATTCATTTATTCCCAAACCCCTCTTTTGCATGATGCTAATCGTCAGTGTTTGGTCTGAGTCTAGTGTGATTGGTTGACTAGGTTCAGCATGAGATGGAGAGAAACGGCCAGCACCGTTATAAAGTAACACAGAGTATATATGTGAACTCGATGCATGCAGGCAAAAGATCAGAACAAAAGACAAATCATTAATTTGACTCTATAGAATTAATAGATTTAAACACAATGCAAGGTACACTTTTAAGATTTAAACCTCAGCTGGATGTTTCCCTTCGCTTACAGCTGTGTTACACACTGCATGGATGGTTATTTTCAAAAACCCATAATAGGGGCTCTTTAAAATCATACATATAAAAACCCTTATAGTTATTTAACAATCTGTGACATCATCCAAATGACAGCTGCAACTCTGATTTTGCTTCAAAAGTAATTGATTATTTTTAAATATGTTAATTTCACAATTTCATGGTCTGGCAATCTAAATGACAAAAAACACATCATCAATCAGTGAAATGCCCCTAAAAAAGCTATTTATTGTTCAGTTGATTTTGAAATAAGTAGATGTGATATTTTATATAGGTGTCCAGTTGATAGCCTGCAATATTAAGCTGAATTAGAAGTTTCATCGCTCAGGTTAATGCTTTGTTTAGTGTAATACAGATTCTCTGTTAACCGCAGTGTCATTCATTACACTGAACTACAGTATGCCTGTATGTTTGCAAGCAATACTTTCTTATAAATAAAGCTGCAACAGGAATTTTTTGACTTAACTCATTATCTCAGGAATATTGTTGTAACACATTAAATGATATAGACGTAAAACCTTGGACTATCAGTATTTTCTCCTTTTCTGCAAAACATAATTCAGTATAACAAAAATCGTCTTTTAGCGTTTTGTCTTTGACCCATATACTAATATCCTAATAATGTAGTTGTAAATAAAATGATTAATATATTCGCAACATACACTGGGGGAAATAATTATTCAACAGCTTAAAGATGTCTCTCATCTGGAGAATGAAGTGAAATATACAATTTTTATTTATATTTTTTTTACAGACTTCAACAGAGTATTAAAATCTTGATGGTTCTGTGGGTCTCGTTTAGCCAAATCTGATCTTTATTTTCTATTTTCTATTGGATTCAAGTCAGGTGATTGGCTGGGCCATTCTACAGCTTGATTTTCTTTCTCTTAAAGCATTTGAGAGTTTCCCTGGCTGTGTTTTGGATCATTATCTTGCTGAAATGTCCACCCTGGTTTTATCTTTATCATCCTGATAATGTAGATGTTGTGCTGAAGCAGCCAATATTCATTTACAATGACGAAAGGTAGAGGGTTGCTACTGAACTACTGAGAGATTTCAGCTGCTGTCTGGGCTTTCACTGCCTTTCTGCACCTCCCTTTCTTCATGTGTTCAATACATTTTTTCTATGTCATTTTATTTTATTACACATCATTTGTAAACCAATAAGATTTGTTTTCTTTTCATATATGTGTTTATTTGTTTATAAACATCTGGTGAAAATTTCAAGTCAACAGCACCTCTAGAAATATGTTTTCTGAGAAAAAAAGGTGACATGTTTAATACTTATTTCCCCCCACTGTAATTACCTAAATGAATACAAAATTAAAATTGTGCGTGTGTGAAGATCTTAAAAAGAAAAGCTACCGAAACATTACACTATTGCAAATGGAAATAACTTACTGTTGCTTGTTCTCACCTGTGTTGCAAAGCACTAACCAGTGTGTTTACTACCATTTATGTCTTTATGTTCTAGCTGTGTTTTACTACTTTTTTATTTTGCTTTTTTTTTCTTGTTTATCCCCCCCTTTGCCTCTTCTCTGTCTCTCGACCATAGAGATTCAGAATTTCCAAAGAGCGTCTTTTTATGATGTCTCTAGTCTCCATGAATCGCCAGGTGAAGGTATACGATGCTGTAGGTCTCTGCTTACCAGCGCATTGTGTACTTTCAGACTCTCCCATGGCTTGTAGACCTGGGCCCTGGACCCTTTAGCTGGCTAACTTTAGAGTTAGCTGGATCCATTTGAAGCAAAGCTTGACTTGGCTGATTCATTCAGATGTCCAAATGGCTTGAATGAAGATTGCATGAAAAATGAGTGCATGTGCATAGAATTAATGGAGAGTATTGACGTAAACAAACTATTTGAGTTTCTGGGTAACTCTAGGTGACCTGGCTACAAGGATTAGGGCCCTGCTTGTTCCTTAGTGCCTTTCAGCAATTTTGAGCAGTTCCCATGCCCTGTAACTGTTAATAATTAGTCTAAAAATTGTTAAAGGAATATCAAATATTGCAACTTGTCAGACGATATTAAAAAATGTCTTTTTGATGGGAAGAAAACAAGTCAATCTTTCAATATTTGTCAGGAACATGTAAGCAGCTCTGGAAGATATTAGAAGACCACTTGAATTTTCTCATGGATTTACTTGATTTATTAGTTATGGGTTTGAGTAGATGTGTTGCAATTTATTTCATGATGGTCTGATGACATTTCTTTAAAAAAAAATTATGTAAATAAAAGCTATTTATTCTCAGAAGATTTCAATTATTAAGTAAATATAAAATGGTTAATGAAAAACGGGTTATGCCACCAAATATTGATTTCTGAACTCTTTCTGAACTCACATCACAATCACATTGGGTAATGTTTAAACCGAAGTTAAAAATCACAACAAAAAGATTTAAATTCAAAAATATATAACAGCAAAATAGTTTACAGAATAAAAGAGTTTAAACTTGGGCTGCACGATATTGAAAATATTATTTTATTTTTCTGCGGTAAATATTGCAATATAAATACTGTTTCAGAAGATGGTTTGAATAGCTCTATTTGACAGTTTTCTGGGAAGTTTTTACTTTTATTTACTTTTTGTTTTGTTTCTAGTCAAAACACCAAAAAAATACCAAGTAACCAACTAAAAATATTGCTTGGTTTTCACTGTCAGAAGAAATAAGTCAAAATCAAGAGATTAACTAAAATTCTAAGCAAGAAATTAATTTTATTTTTTATTTTTTTGCATAGATAATACAGTAATTAAATAAAATTCTATACTGTGGCTCCTGGTCAACTATCATTCAGATGGGATATTGCATATCATTGCGATATGTTTATTGCGGATGCACACATTGCGATATCGATTTCACTGTAGAACATATTTATAAACTATATACTATAAACTATATAAATTTTCTCCAATAATTAGATTTCTTATTTCACCCTGAAATCTAACAGATAATAAAAAAGTAATTAATGATTTATTAATTCATTTTATTAGTTACTTACACATATTTATACATATTTACATATTTTGCTTAGAATTTAATAGAACAGTTAAATGTTAGACTTAATTGTAGAAGTCTATCAAATATTTATACTATTATATATTTTTTCTTAAAAAACAACAACAAAAATTTGTTAATTAAAATTATTTTTATTACAATAATCCATATCTGCTTGTTGAGTCTGATGTCACGCAAAGTGGCTTCCGGGTCCAAACTGTATGGGGAGACTCAACAAATGGTAATAATAAACGTTTAAAAAGCAATATGCTACTATCGAAAATCCCAATTGCAATATACAGTTGAAGTCAGAATTATTAGCCCCCCTGACTTATTAGCCCCTCTGTTTATTTTTTACCCAATTTTTGTTTAACAGAGAAGATTTTTTCAACACATTTCTAAACATAATAGTTTTAATAACTCATTTCTAATAACTGATTTATTTTATCTTTGCCATGATGACAGTAAATAATACTAGATATTTTTCAAGACACTTCTGTACAGCTTAAAATGGCATTAACCCCCCGTATCTTAGACAGTTAAATATAGTGTTTGAAACATTTCATATGCTACAAAACAGTTGCAGGATGACACTGTATGTCTGTAAAAAAATATAAAACATTTAAAGTATTTTAAACTGCCACTTAAGAGCTAAAATGTGCTGTCAACGTATGAGCCACTAAGCCCTAGGAGGTTAAAACCACAACAAATAAAGTGTCTGTGCACATTATGGTTATTTTAATTTTAAAGAGTTACTGTTGAACAAACAGTGAACACAAATGAACAATTACAAAAGGTAAAAATAGTAAAAAAAACCCTAAAACAAATTAATATTTCTTATTTAATTTGTAATTATTATTATTTTTTTATTTGTGAGATTTTGGCTGAAGTGATCAATGTGTGTGGTATACCATTTTGCCCCTGCTTCTCGCAGTCAGACAACTTGTTTGTTTAAAGTGTCAGACGGTGATTTGATAGGCCGTGTGTGAGGGAAATGGAGTTTGGGTGAGGGGTGGAGGAATTCTGTAGTGTCTCCGACAGGCAATGTGGAACAATACAGGTCTTGTTTCACTGGAATCCAAAAGACTTGCTGTCTGGGCCAGTCAACACTGACAGCTCAGTAGATTCTCCATAGAGGAAACGGAAATCATGTCAAGAGCCTCTTTATGAGCAGAGCAGTTGCTTGAAAGCGGTTCTTAACAATGACGTTTACAGGAGCGTAGCAAGACCTAGAGTTTCATAGATCTACTGTACCAAATGTACTTAGACATTGTCATCCTCCCTTTGATTTATAAATTAATTTGTCTTTGTATTTTTAATTGTTTTAACAGATTAAACATTTATAAATACCTTTTCTGATTAGAATTTAGCCATTTATTGCTATGCACATTTATTTATTCAGTTGCTGAAAGGATACTTTTTTAGCAGTGTGACTCTGAGTGACAGAACTTCATATCTGGGTCATATTTCACTCCAAGAAAAAAAGCTTATTTTTTTCTTAAATTAGATTACCACATACATCCAAAGCTTTTACTTTTTTTGTCATTTGTTGTTGTTGACTTATTAAAATCTCATTACTCTAATACAATAGGAATAACATCAAACCTTTTGTTTGTATTATTATAGTAAGCATTATCCGCTTGTTAAGTGTGACGTCACGCGAAACGGCTTCTGGGTCCAAGCGCTCTATCAAACTGTATTGGAAGATTCAACTAATAGTAATAATAAACGTTTATAAAGCGATGTTCTACTTTTAAAAATCACAACAGAAACTATGTTTGTACATCTATCTCCCACTTTGAACTGTTAGCAGATGAACATGATGTATATAAATGACCTTCTACCTCTCCTGATGCCTAATTTGATTTCCCGTTTTCTAGATGTTTTTACTGGTCAGTTCGACATATCTACTTTGTATTTGAAATATTTAGACATTCGAATTACCAATGAGGACTGGAAAAAATCTATCAAGGTCATAACCAAATGTTCTACATGTTACATGTTCTATTAACTCAAGAGACCAACTTATCCAATGTAAAGTAGTACATCTGCTTCATTATTCTAGGGTTAAGCTTAATAAATTCTACTCCTCCATCTCCTCTAAATGTAACACATGTGAATCTGTGGAAGGCTCTTTAGGATATCTTTTTTGGTCAACGTTTTCTAGCGAAATTTTATATTTATACTAGCCTAGAAATATACAGTTGAACTCAGAATTAATTGTTCCCCTTTGATTTTTTTTTTTTTTTTTTTTTTTGGTTTCTTTTTTAAATATTTCCTAAATAATGTTTAATAGAGCAAGGAAATTTTCACAGTATGTCTGATAATATTTTTTCTTCTGGAGAAAGGCTTATTTGTTTTATTTCGGCTAGAATAAATGCAGTTTAATTTTTTTTAAAAACCATTTTAAGGTCAAAATTATTAGCCCCTTTAAGCTATATTTTTTCGATAGTCTACAGAACAAACCATCGCTCTGCAATAACTTGCCTAATTACCCTAACCTGCCTAGTTAACCTAATTAACCTATTTAAGCCTTTAAATGTCACTTTAGTCTGTATAGAAGTGTCTTGAAAAATATCTAGTGAAATATTATGTACTGTCATCATGGCAAAGATGAAATAAATCAGTTGTTAGAAAAGAGTTTTTAAAACTATTATGTTTAGAAATGTGTTGAACAAATCTTCTCCGTTAAACAGTAATTGGGGACAAAAATAAACAGGAGGGCGAATAATTCTGACTTCAACTGTATATGTGTAACATTGTTAACCTATGTATAATACTGGAGGAAAGAATACGAAAATGAAATGAATATTTTCTCAATTTGAATGAGTATAGCAGCTTGGACCTGAAAACAATCTTCTATGCGTCACAACTTAAGTGAATAATACCGTTTATTTTAAATACTTTTCAGTTTGCATTGTTTGCATTGTTGTTATTATTTGTAATTTATTATATAATAACGAGAAGGAATGATTCTGCATTTTATAAATGAAAATTATTTGGAATATGTGCAGATCTTAAAGTTAGCACTTTTATAACCATTCTTTCTGCCAAATAGTTTAATACTTTAAAAAAGAATTAAGAGAAATTATAAAACTAGGAAGGCAAATTATTCACCGCCATAGTTGAAATTCATTCTTGCACCAATTTGTTGTTCAATTTATTAATAACCAAATTATTGTTCACCAGTTTTGTAAATAAGAGATGCATTCAAAGTGTTGTCCTATTCACAAACAATTGATTCCTACTTTTGAAAACACTGTGTCTCGATGAACTGCTGGGTTTCGGGGTGAAATATGTCCTATAGATGGTTGTGTGGTTCAACCTTCCCTTTGATTTCCTTTGCAGCTTGTGCTTGTTTATAGATGTAGTCTTACCCTTGGCTTTCTCCATCTATTTCATGTCTCCATTTGCCTAGCACTGGACCTGCTGGCGTAGTAAGGGCCGTTGGCTCTTGGATTGACCGAACTTGTGGCATTGAGTCAAAATACACTGTACCACTTTCAGAAAGCTATTTTCTGCTTTCTTTTGGGATATGATGACTGAAAGAATCTAAGGAAAGCTTTTTTTTAAAGCGCAGAAACACACAGCGTATTTTGACCTTCTGCTTGGTTGTTGTTGAATTAGAGTTTAGATGTAGATTTCCCTCTTTCATCTTCACATGATTTGGCTGTGCTGTGTCACTATTATTTAATTCTATTGCTTTAAATACTCTTTCACAGACCTAACTGATTGGTATCTTGTTTTCTTCTCACTCTTCATGGCAGTGGACCGTATTGTTGGTTTGGACCAAGTGGCAGGAATGAATGAGACTGCATTTGGAGCCGCATATAAGACCAAAAAGGGCATGTTTCGCACTGTGGGTCAACTATATAAAGAGTCCCTTACAAAACTCATGGCCACACTCCGAAACACCAACCCCAACTTTGTTCGCTGTATAATCCCCAATCATGAGAAGAGAGTAAGTGACATTAGTGCCTTTAGTCTGAAGTAAATCTGAGTAAAAATACAGCCCATTGTCATAATCTCTGTTCTTCTGTTAGGCTGGTAAGCTGGAGCCCCATCTGGTTCTAGATCAGCTGAGGTGTAATGGAGTTCTTGAAGGGATCCGCATCTGCAGGCAGGGATTCCCTAACCGCATCGTCTTCCAGGAGTTCAGACAGAGGTGTGTTTCAGAGATGTGTTCAACAGTAGAGAACCATTGCACCTCTTCTTTCTGTACACTGTAAAATCCAACAGTCAACTTTATCAAATGAAAGTTTATGAAAGTTAATTCTACTCATTTAAAAAGAGTTTTGAACTCAGTGTTAGTAGTGAGTCAATTAAATACCTTAATACTTCAACTTAAATGGATTAAGTACTCCTACAGTACTCATATAGATTTTTTTACTCAAATGGTTTGTTGCAATCGGTTTCCTCAAACGGTTTGAGTTACCTTAACTTTTTTGGTTTACAGTGTAGCATTAGTTTATTGTGTTATTTTCTAAGTGATTAAACTGTGATTTCTGTTTTCATTTCAGATATGAGATTCTTACTCCTAATGCAATACCTAAAGGCTTTATGGATGGCAAACAGGCTTGTGAGAGAATGGTGAGATATTTTAAACCTCAGATGACTATAAAATGAGACTGGAAAGCTCTCATATAAAGGTCTAAAGTACAAAATAAACTGAATAAATCATAATATTTAAAAACATCAGTATATTACTAAATATTTTTTAATGAAGACATTCTGGTGTAAGCTTCATTTAGCTTATTTAGAAAGAAGGTAATGCATATTTTTATTCTGCAAGAATTCAAGGTCAAGGTAAAATCTATTGTATCCCGTAGGAGAAATTTGTTTTAGAACAAAAAGGTTCTGCTGTACATAGACACCCAACAAGACAACATATAACATACATACACATTAATAATCTGATGCTAAAGTACCTCCTAATTTATACACCGTTCCATAAAAATAAAATAAATACAATGTGCCCCCACTGCCCTCTGTTATGCCAACCAATGCAGCTATCTTAATCTTTGACCGCCCTACCCTACTTGCTCATTGATCAATTTAATTGTAAAAGGAGCAAAAGAATGTTTATATTTATTATATATGCACAACGGGACCCTGTATCTTCTGCCAGAATTCATCAGCTTATACTCCAACGACAACACATGTTCAAAGACTCAAAACTTTAGTGAACCAAGTGTCTCAATTCCCATGATTTTACCTGCCAGTCTCATCAGGTGTTTACCTGGGTTCTCATTTATACAGTCAGATTTCCAAACCAAACAGTAATTCCATATCCTAAAATAGACTCCAATATTGAATTTCATCAATTTATTGAATTGATGAAAAGTGACAAGTTTAAGTAGCAATGTTCTTTTGAACTTTTTTCCCATCAATTTCTAGGAAAATGTTGATTCTTCTCCACAATAAAAATGTTGAGCAGCTGTTGGTAATGAAAAATATTCAGCTGAACAGAAGTGTAATTGTTTTAATATGTTCTAGATAAATATCTAAAATACACTCAATTTAAATATTAGATTTTTCACGATGAAAACATGTATGGCCATATTCCAGTCTAAATAATAGACATTTCAGAATCACACCTGATAGTGCCTTATAGCAATGCTCGTATATAATAATATGTCATTTTTATAATGGACCCTTTTCACATTTCCAGGTTTATCAACAGCAGTTGTCATAGTTGTATAAAGCGCAGTGAATGGGAGAGTACAACAAATAATTTTTTTACATCCTATTTGATAAAATAATGGAAGAAAAACTTCACGATAGTGTTCTCAGGACTTTTAGGAAAAAGGAAAAAAAAAAGTTTATCGCATATGTGATAACATTAGCCAGAAGACGTCACATTTACTGTCCTGCTCAATAGACACTGCTTTAGAAAGGCCTCACACAAGCGGTAATTCGTTTTTTTTTTTTTTTTGTAATTTGTTGCAAAGATGATGTAATACATACGTGAATACATATAAATGTACATAGTTTTTTTTTAAATATCTAAATATTCAAAACTTTCAAGGATTTATGATTATGATGACTTGTGGTATTGTGAACATGGTCCATTAAAATTAAATTAATATTTAAAAATATAAGGACACTTAAAGTTTAATTGTTCTGCTTTCAGTACTTCGACGTTACATTTCATAGTTATTTAATTCTGAATAATGTCCAGTACTAAAAAAGTAGCATTAGAAATTTAGCTGCTGATCAATATGAAGCATCAACTTAATATTTGCAGATTCGAGCTTTGGAGCTCGACCCAAACCTCTACCGCATCGGTCAGAGCAAGATCTTCTTCCGCACTGGAGTTTTGGCGCACCTGGAGGAAGAGAGAGACCTGAAAATAACAGACATCATCATCTACTTTCAGTCGGTCTGTCGAGGATACCTGGCTCGCAAGTGAGTACAAAGGCAAAAGACTGAAAAAAAAAAACTAATCCACAGGGACTGGTGAAAAAACATGCAGCTTTTACTGTTTGTAGTGTACAAATTTACAGTATATGAAATGTGAATGTGTTTGTTTCTTAGGGCCTTCGCTAAAAAGCAGCAGCAGCTAAGTGCTTTGAAAGTCCTCCAGAGAAACTGCGCTGCTTACCTGAAACTGCGCCACTGGCAGTGGTGGAGACTCTTCACTAAGGTTGGTCTAGGTTGATATAATTCTTAGGATGGTTTGACCAGCTAAATCTATGTGGTTGTCCTAACTTATTTGCATTATTTTTGTAGATGTTTTTAATTGAGACATGCATTGGATCCATGTTTGCAGGTGAAACCCCTCCTCCAGGTGACCCGCCAGGAGGAAGAGATGCAGGCCAAGGATGAGGAGCTTATTAAAGTGAAGGAGAGGCAGGTTAAAGTGGAAAACGAGTTGGTAGAAATGGAGAGGAAACACCAGCAGGTTAGCACATGCATTACCACCCACTTCCTCCCTCGCTCTTTAGAAAATTACATTAATATTTAGTGTGGTAAATCCAATATTGTTAGACCTAATGTCTGATTCAGTGAGGAAAATTCAAGGCATTTTAACACATCTACGCTTGAGAACTACGGGTATGAGATATCATAATCATAATAGAGATTTGAAAGGTTTTGATTTGTAAACTTTTATCACATGAGAATGTACAGAGCTGTTTTTTCGTGAAGGGAACACACACTAGAGCAGTGGTCACCAAACTTGTTCCTGGAGGGCTGGTGTCCTGCAGATTTTAGCTCCAACCCTAATCAAACACACCTGAACAAGCTAATCAAGGTCTTACTTGGTATACTTGAAACATCCAAGCAGGTGTGTTGATGCAAGTTGGAGCTAAACCCTGCAGGGACACCGGCCCTCCAGGACCAGGATTGGTGACCCCTGCACTAGAGTTTAGATTCTCTGCCCGAGCCCAGACTTGACCTGACCCCGATATTTTCTGCCACTATTTTTTCCCATTTCCACTGACTGGAACAGTACGGAACAGTATCGGTCACCTTTATCAGGCTTGTGTTACCACTACCTAAAAGGTACCAAGAGTATCCTTTTGGTGGGCGAGGTGTACGACAGAAAGTTTCAGTTGACATCATTCTCGCTCGAGGAAATCTCGCTCAAAGTAAAGCTGTACGGGTGGTCCCATACCATATGAGAAGCTCTTCTCACAGAACAGATGCTATATACACATAAATACTTGATAGATCAATGATAGCCTACAGTAACGACTGCAATTATATAAAATAAATAAATAAATGCAACATATATGAACACATACAGACTTCTACTGTCTCTGATATTTCACCATTTACAGAAAAACTGCACGCAGCATATTTTGAGTCCTTATTTAGGTTCAAAAACAACACATAACATATAACCCATTCATTGCAAACCTCTTATCTGTATCTTTAATCTTCAACAGCACATGTAGCCTCTTTTACAAAGTAATTCCGTCATTCCGAGTTCAAAATAGTCCAAAAGGCGATAATAAACATGTCAGTTTGTTCATGGTTTAGGTTGAAAAAAGAATCATTTGTTTCAAGAATCATTTGCCTGTTTTTCAGGCTTCTCCTTTGTTTCAAAGATGTCAGAAGCACTTCAATAATCACACGCACGTTATTATCATCAGCAGTTCGTTATTTCAAATATAGACGCGCACACAAGAGATGAAGGGCTTCCTTGAAAAAATGAAACCGCTCGCACTTTTAGCCTCGTAAAACAAAAACAGGACACGGCAAATTTTGTTCTTTGTGGCTGTTCATCAAGACAATGACACGGTTTGTTTGAGCTCAGGTTGACCAAGGTTCATTATTATATGCATATAGCATTACGATGTAATGTCTCGGCTTTGTTTTAAAAAATGGCTGTTTCTTTGTTTTCATTCTTCTGTTTGTGTATGCATGAGTGACGCTTCTCTCTAAACCAATAGCGTTCAGCTGCCCTATTTATGTAGGACTGATGCGCTGCTTCTGCATGCAAGATGAAATCTGTTAGCATGGATGCCAAAATTGCATGTGCGATGTGAAAGGTGTTATGATAGCTAAAAACCTGGGACTTCCACGATGAACAGACACTCGAAGCAGGCTTGCCATGGCAGAAAGGATGATAGTCAGCTTTCAGTGACCTTTTTTGTTACGTTCCATTCAGTAAACAAACAATGCAGTTTACATGCTTCGTCCTTATTACATTATTCATTAAGATAAATCTAAACTAATTTCTGTAGTTCAAACAACTCAGAATTGTAGTTGAGAACGTCTGTTAAAACAGGCCACGTATTAGGCTAAAAAATTGTCCGGTGTAAATTGGGCTCGGGCTTATAATTATGCCATTGTCAGATCGGGTCGTGCTCGAGTGCGATCAGGTTTAATTTTTTGGGCTCGATCTAAGCTCTAACACATACTTAATTTATATTAAATATTTAATGACTACACTCTGTACTGTATATAGATTATATAGACAGTTAATACATATAAATAAAATACTAATAGTAATAAATACATGTCCTAATCCTTTTATTTGAAGTATCTGCTGCACACTATTGAGAATATTAAGCTCTAAATTGCAAAATCGAATCAATCACAATATCAATTAGAAAAATCGCAATTTGGTTTATTTATATTTTTCCCTAAATTACACAGCCCTACTAAGAACACTTATAAACAAATGCAATGTATCTTTATTCCATGATCTTCTTTAGCAAAGCTAAATTATAGTTGTTGTTTTTAACCAAATTCATTCTTAAAATTGTTGGAGAAATGGATAAAAGAGCATGTTTTCGTGTTGTTTTCCAGCTCTTGGAAGAGAAGAACATCTTGGCCGAGCAACTGCAGGCCGAGACTGAATTGTTTGCTGAAGCTGAAGAGATGAGGGCTCGTCTGGTGGCTAAAAAACAAGAGCTGGAGGAGATTCTTCATGACCTGGAGTCCCGCGTGGAGGAGGAAGAGGAGAGGAACCAGTCGTTGCAGAACGAGAAGAAGAAAATGCAGTCACACATACAGGTGGAGCAGTCACACTACATCTCAATCCATCAAATTTCATTTCACGTTCAGAGTGAAATATTAAGCTGTGATGTCCAGTGATGGGAATAACGGCGCTATAAATAAACTGTGTTACTTACGGCGATTCTTTTTTTCAGTAACGAGTAAATTTAAAGTATTTAAATTTAGCATTAACAGTTTCACAGAATCCTACATCAGTGCTGGATGCATATGCATGTTTTATAGGACCTAGAGGAGCAGCTGGATGAGGAGGAGGCTGCTCGACAGAAGCTGCAGTTGGAGAAAGTGACTGCTGAAGCCAAGATCAAAAAGATGGAGGAAGATATTCTGCTGTTGGAGGACCAGAACTCCAAATTCCTAAAGGTCAGTGTAGATGTTAACCAAAATGCAGTCCAGGGACTTTCTGATAAGCATGCTCGGAGATGTGCTAATTTCTTCCCTCGTTGTGCCTCAGGAGAAAAAGCTCCTGGAGGACCGTGTCGGTGAGATGACCTCTCAGCTGGCTGAGGAAGAAGAGAAGGCCAAGAACCTCGGCAAAGTCAAAAACAAGCAAGAGATGATGATGGTGGACTTGGAAGGTGAGGACAGGGTTGATTTTGTTTTGTTCTATTGGATATAAAACAATAAGTTTTACGTATTTGTGTTTGAACATCAGAGCGTCTGAAGAAAGAGGAGAAAACTCGACAGGAGCTTGAGAAAGCCAAAAGAAAACTGGATGCGGAGACCACAGACCTACAAGACCAGATAGCTGAGCTGCAGGCCCAGATTGATGAACTTAAGATCCAACTGGCCAAGAAAGAAGAGGAACTGCAGGCTGTGTTGGCCAGGTAAAGATCTGTTCAGGGAGAAGCACTGAATAATGATAAAAATAGAGGTTATTCCAAGAAGACTCTCCTCTTGGAGCCAAAATAGTTTTGCTGTCATGTAAATGACCGTGTCTAAATAATAACTTGTGGTAGACTGAATTTTTTTGAGGTCAAGTAAATTGGAATATTAGTCATGGAATAAATCTATTCTTGACCTTTGTGTTGGTTTTTTGTATCGCATTGGTCAAATGTATGACATCACACCATAACCATGTTAACATGCCCATGCTTACTGAAATATACATCATTTAATAATCTTCAAATATTTTACAGTTCAAACATTTGGAGTCTTAGATGTTTACGTGCAAAGAAACATAGCACACATTGATTCTGTTTTTTTTCCCCCTTCTCCCCTTCTAACGGCAGCCTTATCCATACTCTGGACAATGATGACATTTCGGACACTAACAGAGGTGGTCTTGAGTAGTAATCTAACCAACTTTCTCTATACCACCACCAACAGTTTAAAATGCAACTCTTCTTTAGGTTTTACCTTTTAAAACTTTTGTCTTGGAGCTTTTGTCATTCAGACTACATCTCACATTAGCACTCTAGGAAATTGCGGAATTAGGAAATTGTATTTTGTTTTTGTAGTTATTTCTTCAGATTTTACCCAAAATGGGTCATTTAGAACTAGCTGCATAAAAATGACCAGAGTTTTGGAGATATGATTTTATTTTATGATGATATAAACTTAACAGAGTAATTTAAAGTTTTGATCATTTCTGTTCAGTACTTTTTATTAATCAAAAAGAAAGTCCATCATGCCTTCATCAGCAGCATCATTTGAGAATCTTTTCCAAATTTTGTAAACGGGGCACCTACTGATCATGAGATCTAAAAAAGAAAACTTAAATATATATATATTTTTACTTTCTAACTTTTCAGTAGAATTAGGGTTTTATTTGTATTAATTACAGATTTTGAAGTTGCAATTTCTTTTTAATTCAAGACATTGGCAAAAAGTTTAATAATGATCATTGAAGGAATGTTTTGAAGATACCTGAGAAGTTCAAACACAGCGCCACCTAGTGTTCTAGAACTTTTTTCTTTTTGGTTCATTTTTGTGCACAAAATGAAACAGTAATAACCCTTTTTAAGGATTCTGTGATGAATCAACCTTTCAAAACCATCTAAAACTATTAGACCAAGAAGCATTTTCTAGACAAGCAAACAATATTGTCTTGTTTTCAGAAATAATAAGTAAAAATTATGGGAGTTTTTCTTGAAAACAAGTGAAATAATCCGCCAATGGAGTAAGCAAAATAATCTAGTTTTCACTTTGACATAAGGTTATTTTGCTTAGCCCATTGGCAGATTATCTTGCTTGTTTTGAGGTAAAACTCACTTAATTTTTGCACATTATTTCTGAAAACAAAACAATGTTGTTGTTTTTTTGCTTTAGAAAATCCTTCTTTATTTTAAGAATTTCTACATATTTAAACTAGAAACAAGACAAAAAATATTTTTTTTCTGTGCATTGTTTAATTAGAATAAAAACCTGTCAAATTGAATTTAAATCGAATTTTTATGTGTCTTTGCTAAATGAAATTATTAAAAGTGCTGTTTGTAACTTTTGGACTCTTCTAAAACATAAAAATACCATCATATGTTTGCAGATATTTATGAAACATTCTAAGTGAACATTCTAGTTTATCTGAAAAACAATGCTGAAGTCACGTATTCTGCTTTGAAAATATCTGAGCAGCTGTCTTTATTTTGGTTCTTTAAACCCGCCCACTGCCATTTTAGTCAATAATATTTGAGCACTCCTGGTTGCCTTCATGGAAAACAGCGTATTTCATTCATTCGTTCAGAAAGGCTCTCTAAGCATGTGCCCACAACCGAAAATGCAACCTCCGGTGGACAGTAACAACCCTGAAATGAGACACAGATTCGGAGTTCCACATAAGGTGGTTATTAATGAGCAAATAATATAAGTATTACAAATGTAAACATTAGTGAGCAGGTTACATTGTAACCACACGTCCTAACAACATGCTATATGTCGAGATTTGCAGTAATAAGCAATTTGCACCAGATGCAACACGACAGAAATTTAAGGACAGCCATTCAGAAGCATAGAATAGTGCGCACACTCTTGAAATGGGAAGGTTTATAATCTTATCAATACATAATAAACCTCTTACCATTATTACATCTACATGCTGAATGACTTATATTTGTTAACTTGGCTCGCACTAAGTCCCAGTTCTATATGGTTTATTTTATTTTCAAGATCTGAGGTGAACTATCTGCTGCTGCTTTCAGTATATGGCAATAAATGTCACGTGAAATGGCATTCAAACTCACATTATTAGCATTTAACACTGGATAAAGCAGATGAGGTGTACCTGAGGTGATCATAGTTCATCCTGTTGTTCACCTGTGAGAAATAGAAACCGTTTCTACGATAGAAATTTCAGGTGTTGTTAGAACAAAAACTCCTTTTAATATGAAAAATATTTGTTATATTGCGTAACATTGCTTTTAATTATAAAACGGCTCAAATCAGCCTTAAATCAGCCTTTAGGCTCGATAGTCAGGCACACGACCTGTTTGAGGAGCCAAGTAGAAATGTGTTTTGATCAAGGAGTGCAATACCTTGTTTAACCACTGGGTGTCAAACTTGCACACTGCACCTTTAATTCCTAGTTTGTAAACAAATGTCTATTAATAAAGCCCCTGTACATTTTGCCTGCATTGTTTTGCTGATACTCTCTCCTCGTGTTTGTTCTTCCACAGAGGTGATGAGGAGGTCGCTCAGAAGAACAACGCCCTCAAGCAATTACGGGAGCTGCAGGCCCAGCTAGCTGAGCTGCAGGAGGATCTGGAGTCTGAGAAAGCAGCCAGAAACAAAGCAGAGAAGCTTAAGAGAGATCTGAGCGAGGAACTGGAAGCTCTTAAGACTGAGCTGGAAGACACGCTGGACACCACCGCTGCCCAGCAGGAGCTCAGGTACAAGTCTGCTCCACCAATCTGAGACTAGATGGAATTAGAGACTGTTCTAAATCGGATATTTATCGCTGCAAGGATTCATTTCAATCATTTGTTCAAACTATTTAATTACTTAAGATAAATTATTGTGATAAATGTTTGTGTTTGTGTGTTTTAATTTAAAGCAGTTAAGAAACTAATCAAATGCGTGCTATTAGACCAGTGCATTTGGCATTATGGTGACAGCACACTGAGGGTTAATCAAACAACAAAAGAATCATTCACTAAATCACTCACAACTATAAGTTTATTAAGAATCCATGTGCAGTTAACTCAGATTGTTGAGGCTATTCATTGTCTTTTCTATTTAATTACTTAATTCAATTTCTTTTTATATTTTTGGCAGGCTAAATTATTTTATAACCCTTACTTTTTATTGCTTTACTTGCAGTTTTAGCTCACTGTCATGTTGTGTAACAGATTAAGAGTTTTAAAAATCACATGTACATAAGTATTCACAGCCTTTGCTCAATACTTTGTGGATGCACCTTTGGCAGCAATTACAGCCTCAAGTCTTTTTGAATATGATGCCACAAGCTTGGCACACCTGTCTTTGGGAATTTTTGCTCATTCCTCTTTGCAGGACCTCTCAAGCTCTTTTGGGTTGGATGGGACGCAACAGTGTACAGCCATTTTCAGATCTCTCCAGAGATGTTCAATAGGATTTAGGTCTGGGCTCTGGCTGGGCCACCCAAGAACATTCACGGAATTGTTATGAAGCCACTCTATTGATATTTTACCAGTTTGCTTTGAGTCATTGTCCTACTGGAAGATGACAAAGGCTGTGAATGCTTGCGTACATGTGATTTCTCAGAATTTGCAACAATTTCTAAAAATCTTTTTTCACATTGTCATTATGGGCTATTGTGTGTAGAATTTTGAGAAAATATATACATTTAATCCATTTTGGAATAAGTCTGTAACATAAACAAATGTGGAAAAAGTGAAGCACTATGAATAATGTAATCTACTGTAATGTATATTTAAAAATATTACATTTTGTATCAGTTATTTTGAAGAATAATTAAATGGTTCACAAATAAAGCATTCATTTGTTTCTGGTTACTGTATAAATAATCATTTCATCAAATTAGATTCTCTTGAACAAATTTGAACTTTTTTTTTTACATTTCTAAAGATTTAATTGATACATTCTCCATTTGTTGCTTCACATTACTTTAAAAATTGCTCTGCTATTATATCTATATATCTATATATTATATCTGCTATTAGCTCTGCTTCTATGGTCACTATTAAAGGCAGCATTTTTGTTTATTTCCAAAAGTAAACATTTATTACTGCACTTCTGTAGTTTTGTAACCTTAACAAAGATTAATTGCATTTAATGATTTATACATGAGTCCATAGACAGTTTTTATTTTCTACTTTTTAATTTCATTTTCTGAACCTGAATACCTTTAGATTTTATACAGTGCTCAATATAATTGAGTAGACCCCAATTTGAAAATGAATGTTTTTCTCCATTTCTCAGTGAATATAGGCAATATATTTTGGTCCATTAAAACAAAACTAATTTAATAAACAGATATATTTATTAAAATAATATTTTAGTCACCAAGCATATTTAGAAATTAAAATAAAATACAATTAAATTCAAGCAAAATATTGCAAAAATAAATTACAACCTACAAAATATAGTTTTGTTTTTTTTTTGCTTCTCTTCTCATTTTTAAATTTGTATTTAATATTTTTCTATGCCATATAAATTTGAGTGTACTAGTTTTTGGACTGTTATTGTAGGTTATTGTGTTAGATAAGCTCCAGATTTGCCTTCAGCACTAACTAATCTAATGTTTATGCGCAAATATTATATTGTATAGCTTCCTTTTAAGAAGATTAACTTAAAAGAGAGATTTGTGAGGGTTGTACTAATATATGTTGAGCACTATATATACCTTTTACCCACATCACATAAATAGTTGACTATATGCAACTATAAGCAAAACATTATTTCTTTTCAATGGGTTAAAGTAAAAAAAAAAGAAAGAAAATCCACTATTTCTCTTTTATGCTATTCCATAGCCATGTGCATACACTGACTGGTAAAAATCAGCTTCTCTGTATCTCGCATTCAGGGTAAGGTTGCTTTATTGGCATGACATTTTTGTAGAGTATTGCCAAAGCATTTTAGATGTATAAAATATGTAATAAATTGACATCATCAAATTAATAAAATATACAGCAAATAAATAAATGACTGAAAAAGAAAATCCCAAATCCCTGACATTTTAGTCGATTTAGAAACCCCGGCCGGACGCAAAAAAAGGTGCTTCTCTGTGGGTCTGCAGAGCATGTGAGACTGCTTGTATCAGTAGAAAACGAGTTAATGAGAGAAGACTTTCCTCTACGTAATCGATTGCGGAAGTTTGGTAATCTATGGCTGATACAAAAAAAAGTGTAAAAAGATGATAATAATCCAAAAAAAGTGTGACTAAATACTTGGGCTACCATTATAAAAACATATTATTACTGTTGTTATTATTTTAATTTCAGTATTAAGACATTAAGATAAACCTATTCAAGTATTCTGGTGAAACTGTATTTGTAACGCTATATTTGACAGAAAACCTAAATGTTGTGCAGTTTTAATTTAAATGTTTAAATAATTTCAAAGAACTAAACTGTGTTGAAAAGAATGAAGCTGCTTCATTTGTACGGGGTGTTAAAACTAATAAATCAATTTAGAGAAATTTAAGACCCTTTAAAAGTATTAAACGCTATTTTACAAGGTATTAAATCTTGTATCAGTAGACTAAAGTTTGCCTGAATTTAATCTTTGAATATTGGGATGCTGTGTAGTTTATGAAATTAGACAAATCCTGCTAGATTTGACATCAGGTTGCTTTGTTTACTGCAGTAACCAGGGAAACTCTTTTATTCCTGCTGTTGTAAAGGCGCCACCTGCTGGATTAACATTTTCATTGAGTATATAAATACAGTTTTAATTTAGGATTCATTTCTTGCTTTCAGTATTTAGTAAATATGCTGCAAGTTAAAATATCTGCATTGTTACTGGTTGAAACCTGAAGTGGTGATGAGGTCTTAAAATGTATGCAAAGAGTCTTAAAAAGGTCCCTGTTGTACGTAAGCCTCACTTTTATTTACTTTTTTAAAAAAAAAATTTTTAACCCTTTTCCCTCAAATGTGTCTCACCAATGAAGGAGTAAGCGAGAGCAGGAGGTGGCGGAGCTGAAGAAGGCCATTGACGACGAGACGAGGAACCACGAGTCTCAGATCCAGGAGATGAGACAGAGGCACGGCACGGCACTGGAGGAGATCTCCGAGCAGCTGGAGCAGGCCAAGAGAGTAAGAATCAACCAGAGCCCTTTCACTGCTAATATCTGGACTGGAGCGCAGCCAGTTGTCTGCTGTCAGAATGATGTGTTTGGCGTTAATTTCCTCCTCCAGTCTTGGCTTAGACCGAATTCTGGCTCCGTCTCATACTATCTTGTCTGTCAACGCTAGGTCAAAGGAAATCTGGAGAAAAACAAACAGACTCTGGAGAGCGATAATAAGGAGCTGACCAATGAGGTGAAGAGTTTGCAGCAGGCCAAGTCTGAGTCCGAACACAAGAGAAAGAAACTGGAGGCTCAGCTGCAGGAGGTCATGGCCCGCTTCAGTGAGGGGGAGAAGGTTAAAGGAGAGCTGGCCGACCGTACCCACAAGATACAGGTCAGTGCTTTTACAGAAACCACATGTGAGGGATGTTAATCTTTCTGTCATATGATGAGCACTCAGAAACGCTTCTGTCTTCACATCAATCCATCAAAATAAAGTTTTTTAGATATTAGCATCAGTATTGCTTTTTTAAAGATATCTATAAGCTAGTGTGCTCCAAAACAGTGACAAAATTTATGTTTAGAAGATGTAAAACTGATATAAACATGTAAAGCTTGTAGTTTGTCACTTCCACCTAAATGGATCAATGGTTTAATTCAAGTCAACCCATACTAGTTTCTCATAACGTCATAACCAACTAAATGCTCTATCTGACATGCCCCGCCCCACTCAAGACGACCACTATTTAGAGAGCTATGAAAAAGCAAAATCATATTGGCTCTTTTTTAAGGGGAGGAGCTACACTGTCCCGCCCTCTTTTAGTGTTTCATTTAAGATTGTGTCAAATATTGAATCAAAATGCACAATTCAAAGCACTTCACGGGACCTTTAGATTAAACATTGTGACAGAAATATAGGCCTATTCATTTTACATGAGATAATACTTTCCAATGTAAAATAAAAAGGATGCATTTACTAAAATTCATCAGTAAGTAGCAGAAATAAAATGTTGTTTAAAAGTATTTTTTTATATTTAAATATGATTATAATTTAAAAATGATTTAATGTATACATTTTATTTTTAAGTTTATTTGACTTTGTAAATACAATTTTGTTAAATTACTATAGCTAAAATGGGGGGGGGGGGGGAAATTAAATGGAACTTATGGGCAAAGGATTAACTTTTTTAAGATTAGACTTTTGCAGATGCGCACATTGCGATATCAATGCTAAAACGATATATTGTTCAGCCCTAATGCATTTCTTGAGTCACCAATTGCTTATATAGACTCATTTTCATTTTGTTCCTGTATATTTTTTTAATCATTTGCAAACTTAAATCCAGAGTACTTGTGAAATATCCTCCCACCACAGAGTTTAATGCTTATCATATGTTGCAGACGGAACTGGACAATGTTTCATGCCTTTTAGAAGATGCCGAGAAGAAGGGAATCAAACTGACCAAAGACGTCTCCAGTCTAGAGAGTCAGCTTCAGGATACTCAGGTAAAGTGTCTCTGACCACAGGACATCCACTTGCTAAATCTACTTTCTAATGTACAAGATTGATGCTCATTATGTTCCAGCATGTACTTCACTGTTGAACCTGCAATAGAAAAGACTGCACAGAACTAATGCAAACCGTTTATTTGTGTGTGTGTGTGTGTGTGTGTGTGTGTGTGTGTGTGTGTGTGTGTGTGTGTGTGTGTGTGTGTGTGTGTGTGTGTGTGTGTGTGTGTGTGTGTGTGTGTGTGTGTGTGTGTGTGTGTGGTGTGTGTGTGTGTGTGTAGGAGTTGCTTCAAGAGGAGACGCGTCAGAAGCTGAACCTGAGCAGCCGTATTCGTCAGCTGGAGGAGGAGAAAAACAATCTTTTGGAGCAGCAGGAGGAGGAAGAGGAGTCACGAAAGAACCTAGAGAAACAACTGGCAACACTACAAGCCCAGGTACACACAATCACTAACAGAAAAAAACTGATTAACCAGTATTGCCTCACATACAACCAATGCATCAATTTACATATTCTTTTAAATGGTCAAGGACTGCCTTTTCCAAACTTTTGTACTCCTCTCTAAGGCCTGCTCATGAGGTTATCAATACTTTTACATAAACAACTACATAATTTACAAGAAATAGGCCACATAGATTGAATAGAATTGGCTAATTGTAGACTCCAAAGTCAATGACCGCTGCTATGATTGGGTAACCATTTTAGGAACAAAAAAGGCAGTCGTTTTAAATCCTCGTTTTTTTGGGTAGCTGGTGGAGACCAAGAAGAAGCTGGAGGATGATGTTGGAGCCCTTGAGGGTCTGGAGGAGGTCAAGAGGAAGCTACAGAAGGACATGGAGGTGACCAGTCAGAAGCTGGAGGAAAAGGCCATTGCTTTTGACAAGCTGGAGAAAACCAAGAATAGGCTGCAGCAGGAGCTGGATGACCTCATGGTGGACCTAGACCATCAGAGACAGATCGTCTCAAACCTAGAGAAGAAACAGAAGAAGTTTGACCAGGTAAGTGTCAGTTTTGGTTAAAGGAAAGCAATTTGAAATGAAAGTAACTTACCCATCCTTATACTGTTAAACCAATGGGATTTTCATCCCTGATTGCTCAAATAAAGATATTTTTGATAGTCCTTTCCACCACAACGTTGCTCACATATTTTTAAGGCTTAAAATTGTTTCATGGGTTTACAAAGTTGATTGTATATCATATATACGTCGAACAGAAATATATTAATAACAAGTAAAGAGTCTTTAATGTTTCAAATAACATAAAAATAAAGTATGAAAATAAAAGTTTGTATTATTCCATCATTATTCAGCATTGCAGATATGACTATAAAATTAAAGAATATACATACAGTTGAAGTCAGAATTATTAGCCCCCTTTTGATTTTATTTTTATTTTTTTATATTTCCCAAATGATGATTAACAGAGCAAGGAAATTTTCACAGTATGTCTGATAATATTTTTTCTTCTGGAAAAAGTCTTATTTGTTTTATTTCGGCTAGAATAAAAGCAGTTATTAATTTTTTAAAAAACATTTTTGGGACAAAATTATTAGCCCCTTTAGGATATTATTTTTTTCAATAATCTACAGAACAAACCATCGTTATACAATAACTTGCCTAATTACCCTAACCTGCCTAGTTTACCTTATTAACCTAGTTAAGCCTTTAAATGTCACTTTAAGCTGTATAGAAGTGTCTTGAAAAATATCAAGTAAAATACGTTTTACTGTCATCATGGCAAATATAGAATAAATCCGTTATTAGAAATAAGTTTTAAAACTATTATGCTTAGAAATGTGCTGAAACAATCTTCCCTCCATTAAACAGAAATTGGTGAAAAAAATAAACAGGGGTGCTAATAATTCAGGGGGGCTAATAATTCTGACTTCAACTGTATTACCCGTACTTAAAATATATAAAAGATTACATCATCATACTTAATTTTAATGAAAAACTTTTTTGCTGGCAAATGAGTAAAACCTAGTCGTTTTAAAGTTGGTGGCAAATTGCTAAGAATTTAAATTGCAAATAGTATATGAGGCAGCATTTTCATTCATAGGGCATTTGCAAAGAAAACTAATCTAATTAGTTTACAAATCAAGTAATGCGTAATAAAATTAAATGACACAGGAAATGTATTTAACACACAAAGAAAAGGGGAAGGTGTAGAAAGGCAGTGAAAGCCCAGACAGCAGTTAAAATCTTTTAGTAGATCTTCAGCACCCATCTGTAACTGAATATTAGCTGCTTCAGTCCAACATCTGCATTATCAGGATGATGAACCCCGGTGGACATTTCAGCAAGACAATGATCCAAACGCACAGCCAAGCTAACTCTCATATGCTTTCAGAAAAAGAAAATAGAGCTGTTGAGTGGCCCTGGCAATCACCTAACTTGAATCCGATAGAGATTACTAATCAAAGATCAGATTTGATAGACAGAACCATCATGACTTCATTCTCTTTATGAGAGGTATCTTAAAGCTCACCAAAAAAGCCTTTTATATAAAGTATTAAATACATCTCAGTAGTTCAGCACTTTCTCCTTGTGTCATGGTTACTCATTTTTCAGATTTTTTTTTGTTGTTTAATTTTTATGTTTGTATTGCATTTACATTTAGTCATTTAGCAGACGCTTTTATCCAAAGCGACTTACAAATGAGGACAAGGAAGCAATTTACACCGCTATAAGAGCAACAATGAATAAGCTGTAGGCAAGTTTCAGGTCTGTAAAGTCTAAAGCCTGATTTATACTTCTGCGTCAAACACCGGCGTATGCTACGGCGCTGACGCATAGCCCTTCGCCGTGGCCATCGCCGTCACTGACGTGCACCTCTCAAAAAATGTAACTACACGTCGCAACGACGCGTAGCATAAGCTCTGTGATTGGTCGGCTTGGTAGCGCTGACGAGTCTGGGCGGGACCGAGAGGCGCGCGAATGGCGCGACGCCGCGCGAGCGATTGTTTACAAGTGTGGAGTCCCGTGAAGGAGCTCCGGATGGAAAGTTTTGTTTTGTGTTTACCTCATAGTTAAAGTTGTTGCACGTCCGCCGGTTCCTGCCTCAAAATGAGCGAGTTTGAGCCACTTGTACATCCCGGAAGTGTTCAGGAAATGCAAAAAAGTAGCGAAGAAACTTGACACAGAGGAACATTTACACCTCACTGCCAACTAGCGTTTCGGAAGTGTTAATGCAGACCGGCAGAGACAGCGCGCAGAAGTATAAATGCACAGCCACGCGCGTTGCCTGCGCCGTGGGTTACGCCGGTCACCTGACGCAGAAGTATAAATCAGGCTTAAGAAGGAAAGCATTAGTAATATATATATATATATATATTTTTTTTTTAATTAGTGGTATATCCAGAGAGGCAATTGCAGATTAGGAAGTTAAGTGGAGAATAAATAGTGGAGTTTTTAGTCGTTTCTTGAAGACAGCGAGTGACTTTGCCATTCTGATGCAGTTAGGGAGTTCATTCCACCAACTGGGCAGATTGAATGTGAGAGTTCGGGAAAGTGATTTTCTTTCCTCTTTGGGATGGAACCACAAGGCGACGTTCAGAACGCAAGTTTCTGGAGGGCACATAAATATGCAGAAGTGAGAGCAGATAAGAAGGGGCGCAGCCAGAAATCGCTTTGTAAGCAAACATCAGAGCTTTGAATTTGATGCGAGCAACAACTGGCAGCCAGTGCAAACGGATGAGCAGCGGAGTGACATGTGCTCTTTTAGGTTCATTAAAGACCACTCGTGCTGCTGCGTTCTGAAACAGCTGAAGAGGCTTGATAGAGTTAGCTGGAAGCCCCGCTAGTAGAGAGTTGCAGTAATCCAGTCTGGTGAGAACAAGAGCTTGAACAAGGAGTTGAGCTGCATGTTCAGATAAGAAGGGTCGGATCTTTCTGATGTTATAGAGTGCGAATCTGCACGATCGAGCAGTTCTAAAAAATGTGGTCAATTGTTTGGGTTTTTACCAAAATCTGGTTCAATTTCATGTCAACAGCTCCTAACAAAAGCGTAATGTGTTCAATGCATATTTATGTTCTTTTAGTGAATGGACCGAAATCTCACGTTTCATTAAAGCAATCTGCTAAGGTGATCAACAAAAAAAATCATGTGTTTATAAGTAAATTAAGTGGCATGAGGGTGATCAACTAATGGCAGAACTTTATTTGTTGGTGGACTATCTCGTGTGAAGTTTTTATTTGTATATAGTTTAGATATACAGTTTATTTTTTCCATTGGAGCCTTTAAAACTGCTGACAATAATAAGTGCATGTGTAAATGTGTGTGACAGATGCTGGCGGAGGAGAAGACCATCTCTGCGCGTTACGCTGAGGAGCGGGACCGTGCCGAGGCCGAGGCTCGAGAGAAGGACACCAAAGCTCTGTCTATGGCCCGAGCCCTGGATGAAGCTCTGGAGGCTAAAGAGGAATTCGAGAGACTCAACAAGCAGCTCAGAGCTGAGATGGAGGATCTGATCAGCTCCAAGGATGACGTAGGCAAAAACGTAAGTCACTGTGGCCACGTTCACTAAACCATATGTGCATAGTTTTAGGGTGCACAGACCATACACAAAACATGTTCAGCAGATGCAAGGGGAAAATTGACAATGCAACTAAACATTCGCTCCCAGTGATTTATTTCATTGGTGACTCAATAGTCTTTACTCAATAGTCTTGCCAGATATTGCTAGAAAAACTTTGCTAGAGAAATATGAGCAAAGACATAATAAACATAAACCCTAATGCTTTATCTTGTCACCTCATAATAAGTGGACAGGATTTCAAACATATAAACAAAAAAAAACTTGTGGCAAAGGTGATTTAGATGTAAAAATTGACCAAAACAATCCTAGGGTAATCACTTTTATATTGCAGAAAGTGCAGATGTCAAATAGATGAGATGAGTTTAATTGCCACAGTGTTAATCATCGCGTTTCCCAAGAGTCAAGTACACACAATTGGACAATTTGTGGGTTTTACGGTTTCAATCCCGTTTCTTTAAACGCAGCTGTCACTCCTGTATCGTTAATCTATGTACTTGTCCAGACTATTTATGAGTGATTGATTATGAGTGTAATTAAGTAGGTTCTGTTTACTCCATGTATGGTGATGGTTGAAGTCATTATTAGCGTTTGAATCGTTTTTGGTGTTTTGTAAACTGCAGATTGTGTTTTGAGAGCTCATAATGTGCTCACACCCTTCGGCATGTGTTAAACGAGTGTGATAAAGCAAGTTTCAGGTGTCAAGTAATTTGCCTGTCATCACTGCCACCAGAATATGTAGCAAGATGCAAAAATAAGCCTGTCAGAACATTTGCATTGTTAGTATTACAGCATGAAAGATTGGAGACTATAATTAATTTTGTTTAATACTAAATCCTGACTTTTTTTTAATGACGAAACGAGTTTAGCATATCTTTAGCTTACTAGAACTAATTTGGACAGAAAGTACAGCCAATCAATCGTTTTAAATCCTATGCAAGTGTAATAAAGTGGTAAACTTGACCAGGGATGCGTTTCCGAAAACCATCGTTAGTCAACTAAGGTCGCAAGTTCCGTCGTTACAAACATAGTTGGTTGATTTGGCATTTCTCAAATCCATCGTTCCAACGAACATTCGCTAACTGCGTTGCAAACTTGTATGCTTGCAACTACACCTCTGGGGCTGTTGTTAGAAACATAGTTCCTGGCTGTGTTCTATTCCCAGTTATCCTCCCTATGTTTTATCGATCTTCATGTTTACAATTGCGCTCTCTTTGCAGTGCACTTTTTTTTTTTTTTTTTTTTTGAACATTGATGTCATTTTGAACACAAACGTGGCTCATGACAAAGCTATTGGTAACCTATTATTAAAAAATCTGAATTTATGTTACATCTCTAAAGCTTGTGAAAACAAAAAACACAGCATACGTTAATGCTTTTCATTTATAGTAGGTTATTTATTAAGTATCTGTCTGTATATGTCATGGGCCTGTAGGTTAGACCATTTCTGCAGTGGTTTGCATGTGTCTAATTGTAAAAGTAGGCTTGAAAAAAAAAATAAGTAAACAATATCATACTTAATTATAAAAATCATCATCATCATTGATGTTATCATTAAAGTAGGATTTGTTTTTTTTCCCTAATAAATAATACATATTCAATTTCATTTATTAAAAAATTGCCTCATTATTTATTTATTTATATGATTTATATATGATTATATTAGAATACGTGTTAGAGTTTGTAAGTGATTTTAAGTTTTAGAATAGAAAATGTAACGTTCTCAGTAATATTTGTAAAGGAAACACCGGCCCTATATGTGCCATTTACACGTATTTAAATAAATATGGAAAGCAAGTGCATGTTTTTACCAAAACTAATATTGGATTTTTTTTAAATGCGTGTGTGTGTAAAACAATATTATTTGTACAAAGAAATTATGGGGTTCTTCTCTAAAGAAGTTGTTACCACCCTGTTTTGAACATAAATATGGGCATTTTTCGTTATAACTAACGTGGTTTAAACGATGGATCTGCAGTAGAAACTACGGGTTTGGGAAACACTCATCACTACATCGCTCTTTTCTCAAACTATGCATCATACTATGATAGTTTAGCCATGAGTTACGTCGTTGTTTGGGAAACGCATTCCAGATGTGAAATTCCTATTCTTGAAAAATGGAAATCTTGGAAATAAGGGATTAAAACAGACCAAAAAAAGTCATTGTCATTTATTGTTAAGAAAGAGTGGCAACTGTTCGTCACATTGTGATCATCACTGTGTATTCATTTCCGTTGTAAAACGTGCAGGTCCACGAGCTGGAGAAATCTAAGCGGACTCTGGAGCAGCAGGTGGAGGAGATGCGCACTCAGCTGGAGGAGCTGGAGGACGAGCTGCAGGCCACTGAAGATGCCAAGCTGCGTCTGGAGGTCAACATGCAGGCCATGAAGGCCCAGTTTGACCGAGACCTGCAGGCCAGAGATGAGCAGAACGAGGAGAAGAAGAGGGCGCTGGTTAAACAGGTCTGTGACATGTACAGTTTACCAATTAAAAAACTGTGATTGAAAATAATAATTCAGAAGGATTTTATTTCATTTATTTATTTAATAGTTACTGGCGTCAGTTCCTATGAACTTTTATTTTTTAATGTTAAACATTATTCTTTCATTTGGCTTTCTAAAATTGTTAAACAGATGAAGTTTTTAGTTGTTGGATGGCTTTTTAGAGTTGAAGATTTGATCTATAATTTGAATTGAAATTTTTACTTGAATTGAAAACTATCTGATGTTCCGAGGGTATATTTTTAAGAATGGACATGATATTTTATGCTAAAACTCATTAGGCTATTAAAATCATGTTTAATTCTGTAATTATATCAAAACTTTATTTTTGATGAGTAATCAACATTGCTATGAACTTGGTTTGTACACGATTTAAAGATGATTTTATTATATTCTTTTGTAATCCTAAGATTCTAAATTGCCAAATATTGTCCTATCCTAACAAAATCTCACTTATAAAAAGGGACGCTTATGTCTGTTTTTTTAGTTCTGGCTCACATTTATAAATTGTAATTGAACATTAATATTCTTGTGTTTCTGTTTCCTTTGAGAAACAACAATAAATGTGTGACAGCCTTCAAGAGTTTTCCTACAAGATAAACCTGTGTGTTTCTGTGATCTGGTTCAGTTTTTTTGATCCATGAGTCCTCTTGTCTTTAGGTGCGTGAGATGGAAGCAGAGCTGGAAGATGAGAGGAAGCAGAGAGCTCTTGCTGTTGCTGCAAAGAAGAAGCTGGAGATGGACCTGAAAGATGTGGAAGCTCAGATTGAGGCTGCAAACAAGGCCCGCGATGAAGCCATCAAACAACTACGAAAACTCCAGGTAAAATCTTTTCCTGAATGTTGCAGTTTAGAAATGTGATGACGCTGTAATGACCGTGAAAGTAATGACACAAAAAAGGATTTTAGACAACCACACTGCAATGGATTTGGTTCAGTCTGCAAAAGTTTAACATTTGGATTCTGACGGTATGATAGTTTGGATTAAAATATCACGATATTGTGATAACGGCTCTAAAATGTGTTCTTTTTAAATGTCTTTTAATTGAATAAACATTTAAAATATTTTAGTACAGTAAACATTAAAATAAATAATTGACTTTGACTGTTTTTATTAGTTTAAAAAGGTTTATTTACAACTTAAAAAGGCATCTTTTGGATATTTTTCTTTTCTTTGAATATGGACGATCCTTTTCTGCTGGAGATGCTGTTGCCCTAAAAAACTAAATAAAATGGTCGTAAAAAACACGTAAAAAAACAAAATGAAAAATTTGCATATACCATAGGAATGGTACGATAAAATAGAAAATTTTTGCAGTTTTTAAAACCTTGATTTTTACAAACTGTGGTAAACCTTGAAACCGGTTTTCATCCCATACCTTTTGTACTTTCATCCACACAACACTTTTTGTATAACGAGTAACAAAGTAGAAAAATCTCAAAATGCCATTCCAAGCGTAGCCATGTGGATAGACAAAGTGCCACTTTTTGTAAACGGTGACATCACAGCATCAAGTAACCAGAAGAAGCAAGAACGCTGCATGTAACTAGTGGCAACAACAATAAAGTCAGTTTACAGAGCTGTGTTAAATGTATTAATACAATTACAGCAAAACCTGGTAATGCTGTATTAACTATGAGGCATTCCACATTAAGTTACACGCATTCAGCATCATTCGTGTCTGTACTCGGTGCACTGAAGAAGGACTTGCTTGCTGCATTCTTCTTTGATTTGTGTGTCTGTGTTTGTTTACAGCACCACATATAGAGGTGGCTTGCAGTGGGGAAAATAGGTATTGAACATGTCATCATTTTTCTCAAAAAACATATTTCTAAAGGTGCTGTTGACTTTAAATTTTACCTGAATGTTAGTAATAACCAAAGAAATCCATATATGCAAAGAAAAAAAATCTAATTAGTTTACAAATGAAGTTACATGTAATAAAAAGAAATGACGCCAGAAGAAAGTATTGAACACATGAAGAAAGGGAGTTGCAGAAAGGCAGTGAAAGCCCAGACAGCAGCTGAAATCTCTTAGTAGTTCTTCAACATCCCTCTGCCCTTCCTCATTGTAAATGAATATTCGCTGCTTCAGTACAACATCTACATTATCAGGATGATTAAGATGTAACCAAGGTGGACATTTCAGCAAGACAATGATCCAAAACACAGCCAGGGAAACTGTCGAATGCTTTCAGAGAAAGAAAATCAAGCTGTGGAATGGCCAAGCCAATCACCTGACTTGAACCCAATATGAAATACAAAATAAATCTTAGATTCAATAGACAAGACCCACAGAACCATCAAGATTTTTACACTCTAATGAAGTCTCTGAAAAGCTCACAGCTGAGCAATTCATGTGACTTTATTCTCCATAAGTTAATAAATGTGTTTCAGTAGTTCAATACTTTCTTCTCGTGTCATTTCTTTGTTATTACACAGATTTAATCTCACAGATTTTTTTTTTTTGTTTAGTTTTATTTTGATGTTTGTATTGTTTGGGTTTTTACCAAAATCTGGTTTAATTCCATGTCAACAGCTCCTTCAGAAATATTATTCCCAGGAAAAAAACACATGTTCAATGCTTATTTTCCCTGCTGTATGTGTTGTACCGTTTTTAACCCAGTTTTTCCGTTTACAGCTGAACACTGAGATTTCTTGAAGTGATACATGTATGCATGCGAACATTTTACAGAATCCGTAAAAGACAACAAAACATGATCGTTGCTGTGTGGACGTAACCTTAAAAGCTTGTCACCGCTGCATTAGTCTTGGTCCAAAATGCGAGACGTATAGACGACAACATCTCTCTTTTCAACCAGGCTCAGATGAAGGACTACCAGAGGGAGCTGGAGGAGGCACGCACTTCACGAGACGAGATCTTCACTCAGTCTAAAGAGAACGAGAAGAAGCTCAAGAGTCTTGAGGCTGAGATTCTGCAGTTGCAAGAGGTAAACTGACACTTCTGAAGAGAACTGATGGTGTTAATTGAGATTAGTTTGTCTTGCAAATTCATGGTTCTGTTTCTGTGTTTTTAGGATCTGGCATCTTCAGAGAGAGCCAGACGCCACGCTGAGCAGGAAAGAGATGAACTTGCTGATGAGATCTCCAACAGCGCCTCTGGAAAGTAAGTCTTTGCTCTGTAAACTTCTTGCAGTGCATGTTTAGTTTAGTTTATTTGTTTACAGGGACAATGCACATTAATAAACACTAAAATGTGCCAGAAATAGTCAAGAATGGGTATTTTTAATTTGTAGACCCTTAACAGAATATTAAAAAAGTCATTCATTCATACATTTGATACATATCAGAGGTCACCACAGCGGAATGAACCACCAACTATTCCAGCATATGTTTTACACAGTGAATGCCCTTCCAGCTGCAACCCAGTACTGGGAAACACCCACACACTCTCACATTCACACACTCATACACTACAGCCAATTTTTGCTGACCCAATTCACCTGTACCACATGTCATTGGACTGTGGGGGAAACCGGAGCACCCGGAGGAAACCCACACCAACACGGGTGAACAAACTCCACACAGAAATGCACACTGGTCCACATTAAGCTGAAAGTGTTCTTCAATGTTGTTTCTGTTGTTTGCTCCAGCTTACCGTTGTTATTTCCGTCATCAGCACAGTTCATTTACGTCTGTGCACGCCATTCGTGTGTATCCTGATTTGAGTGAATGACGATTTGAACACTCCAACACTCCAAAACAAAAGGTCCCCTAGTTTGTGTGCATCCACCATAAACATTAACACTAATGGTGAATAGAAGTTCCTACAATAGGTTTGCATGCTTTATTGTGTAAGAGCCCTGGTGATCTTCCCAGGCTGTTTTAAACACTATTTCTGAGGGGAAGCTTCAAGCTTATGATGGCAAACAATTGTTTTCTGTCAGTTGACTTGCATAGATCAATTGCATAGTTTAAAACTTGCTGGAAATGGTGTGAAATTTGATGCATTGTGAGTTTTGAAAGTTATTTTAGTATCTCTTGCAAAGTACAATTAGATTTTTATTATGCAAATGTTGATTAAATACCATCAGAATTCATAGATTATGTAATGGAATGTTTAAATGTAGTCAACTGCAGTCTAAGGAATGCATAAAATATTCCTTTCTAATTTCCAAACTTATGCTTCTGAATAAAATATATATATATAAATAATGTTTGAATATAATAATAGACCTTTGAAATACAGGTTTGCATACATATTAACATTCAGCTGTTGTGAGAGAGAACATCTTTATCTTTAAGACAACTTAAAACAGTTATTTACCAAAGAGAGTTATTACAGGGTGTCCGCGGGGTCCTAAAAAGTATTAAAAGTTGATAAATCAATGTAGAGAAATTAAAGCCCCTTAAAACGTATTAAAGTCTTAAGCTATTTTGCAAGGTATTAAATCTGAGAGCATTTTTGATTATGCAACGTATGGTTATATGCTAAAGTTTGCCTGAATTAAATCTGTGAATATCAAGCTGCTTTGTTTTACTGCAGTAACCAAGGCATCACCATTATTTCTGCAGTTCTACATGCGCAAACCTGCTGAATCAGCTAGATTTAATATATTTTTATCGAGTATATGAATGATGTTTTAGTTTTGGATTAATTTCTTACATAAATATTTTGTAAATATCCTGCGTGTGACAACATGCCAAGGATGTTTTTTTTCTGTCTCTGTGTGCATTAAAAACCAAATCAAACCCATTTATTTTCATGCTCTAATAAATTTATCCTGTCTGGTTGGCACCAATAGCCTAGTGGTTAGTGCATCGACTTATAGTACCCAGGTTCTCGTGGCAACCCGAGTTCGATTCCTTTGCGGATCCTTCCCCTCTCTCTGCTCACCTTACTTTACTGTCTGTAAATCTCCACTGTCCGGTCATTAAAGGTGAAAACCCCAAAACAAAAGTATCCTGTCTGCTCTTATAGATGTCAACATTGTTTGAATGTTTTATTAAATATACAGTAAATGTTTACTAACTTGTATCCGTATGGCTTGATCAGTAAGTTCTAAATAATTTTTTTTACGTCTAACCTCCCATCCACAGAGGAGATACAATCTGACAGGATCTCTTCAGAAATCATCACATTTTCTTATTTTAAACGTTGTCAATAAAGTCTAATGATTATTGTCGTAGTTTTTCAAAAACATGTCTTAAACTCACTGAAATATTGTCTTGGAGGTCTTAAATCGTTTTAAGCAAGTCTTAATTTTCCATTGTTTATGTAAAGCTAGCCAATCAATTCAACATCTCAATAAAACTATTTATAACTAACACAGTAACAGTCTGTTGTGCATGCATTTAGTTTTAAAAGATTTTATGAAAGTTTTGTTGAAAAAAATGTATGCATACAACTAAGATCTGCTTGCTTTGACACATTATTTAAAATATGTGGCCAGGATATTATTTATTTTTGCTGGGCCATTAAAGCAAATCCTTTGTGTTTAGCCGGGTATAAGTTTAAAATGTCATCTTTATGGTCTTAAAAAGCTCTTAAAGTCTTACATTTGACTTGGTGAAACCTGCAGAAAGCCTGGTTTAGGTATTGTGCAGTTTTCATCTGTAATAAAGTCAGATTATTGAACAATGACATGAACAAGCATTTGTGCTTGTTTTTGTTCAGGGCAGCCCTGTTGGATGAGAAGAGGAGACTGGAGGCTCGTATCGCTCAGCTGGAGGAAGAGCTGGAGGAGGAACAGAGCAATATGGAGCTCCTGAACGACCGCTTCCGCAAGACCACTATGCAGGTGTGCAGTGCTCAGAACCCTGCTGTCATTATGAGCAATGTATTTGCAAAACTCTGCACCCTTGTGAGCTTTCTGTAGTTGGTGCAGAGAGCAAGCCCATGTAGGCCTGTCACTATAATCACTATATCGACTCATTGCACAACACATAGGCATGAGCTCAATCATTTTTGGTGATGTAATATATATATATATATATATATATATATATATATATACACAGTTGATGTCAGAATTATTAGCCCCCTTGAATTATTAGCACCCCGGTTTATTTTTTTCTCCAATTTCTGTTTAATTGAGGGAAGATTTTTTCAGCACATTTCTAAGCATAATAGTTTTAAAAACCTGTTTCTAATAACTGATTTATTTTATATTTGCCATGATGACAGTACATAATATTTTACTTGATATTTTTCAAGACACTTCTATACAGCTTAAAGTGACATTTAAAGGCTTAACTAGGTTAATAAGATGAACTAGACAGGTTAGGGTAATTAGGCAAGTTATTGTATAACGATGGTTTGTTTTGTAGACTATCGAAAAAAGAAATTGCTTAAAGGGGCTAATAATTTTGTCCCAAAAAGGATTTTTAAAAAATTAACGGCTTTTATTCAAACCGAAATAAAACAAATAAGACTTTCTCCAGAAGAAAAAATATTATCCGACATACTGTGAAAATTTCCTTGCTCTGTTAAACATAATTTGGGAAATGTTTAAAAATGAGAAAATAATTCAAAGGGGGGCGAATAATTCTGACTTAAACTGTATATATCCCATAGATTAATATCAACTCTAGTCACATATTAGCTGACTGTGTTTTACTGGAGGTGTCAGTGGGTTTGGTTAAAAAATACTTTAGTATTTACTGTAAATTACTTTGGTATACTTTCATGTGGGTGAGTGATGAATGACAATAGATCTAGTGGCAGATATGGCAGCCTCTATTACTTTTTAGCTTGCACTTTTTGTTAACATTCATTATTATTTATTAGTTCAGGATATATGTGTTTTCAATCATAAACAGATGTATCAATACAATGTTAACATATGCTTTCTCTGTGAATTTATATTTTAAGTTTTTACTCCGAATGTCTCATCCAAAGCGTTGGAATTGCTCTGTAGTTCTGATCTTTGTAAGTGTTTAGATGTTTAGTGAGAGCTGCTGTGTGTGAATGTTCAGGTGGACACCCTGAACACAGAGCTGGCAGGAGAGCGCAGCGCTGCACAGAAGAGTGAGAACGCACGTCAGCAGCTCGAGCGCCAGAACAAGGACTTAAAATCCAAGCTGCAGGAACTCGAGGGATCCGTCAAATCAAAGTTCAAGGCCTCTATCGCCGCCCTGGAGGCAAAGATCCTCCAGCTAGAGGAGCAGCTCGAACAGGAAGCAAAGTACGCAAACGTTTTCACAATCACTACTCAGAAATGAACCGATTGAGTTATTGTTTTCTCTAATACAACAGGTTACTTGAGTAAGGACATTTTTTATCAGTGTTTTGCTGAAGCTGAATGCTTGTCTGATCACAGGGAAAGAGCTGCAGCTAATAAGATTGTGCGTCGCACAGAGAAGAAGCTGAAGGAGGTGTTCATGCAGGTGGAGGACGAGCGGCGCCATGCAGACCAGTATAAAGAACAGGTGAGATGAAGCTTCTCGCACACTGCCAGTCAAAGCAAACGAAACACCTCTGACACCAGTGTTGTGTATGTTTAGATGGAAAAGGCCAACTCGCGCATGAAGCAGCTGAAGAGGCAGCTGGAGGAGGCTGAGGAGGAGGCGACGCGAGCAAACGCCTCCCGCAGGAAACTGCAGAGAGAGCTGGATGACGCCACTGAAGCCAGCGAGGGGCTGAGCCGAGAGGTCAACACACTCAAGAACAGACTCAGGTACACACACACACACTCATAGACTGATGTACTTTATAAATGGCCATTTATAAATCTATGTACAGAGGTGGGTAGAGTAACTAAAATGTACACTCAGGTAAAAGTACAAGAACTTGAGGACGTTTTTACTCAAGTACCAGTAACAATCTTTTTTTTTTTTTTTTTTTTTTTTTTTTTTTTTTTTTTAAACAGGACAGTGGTACTGGTATCTCGTAACAATATGTACAGCAGTTATTGTTACATTCTGACAAATGCATACAGATGCAAAAAGCAAAGACAAAGATAAAAGAAGATTATAAAACAAATTTAGAAAGACATGGTTATTGAGTATTTTCAAGGAAAATCCAGAAAGAGGACCAAATGCGCCAGAACACCTCAGATCTTTGATGTAGATCGTAAGTCAGTTTTTCCAGTGGTAGGAGTCTGATTGCCTGACTCAGCCACATATTGACTGAAGGTGTCTGCGCAGTTGACCACAATAACAATACATTTTTTGGCCAAATATATATAATAATTCGATATACATTATTTGTCATGATCAAGACACAGTTCCGATGTACAATTCAGAAGGTATACCTTTGGAGACGAAGCAAAAGTCTCTCCAGTTATTTTTTGAATCATTTTGGGAATCTCTTTCCAGTACATTTTAATTTTGTCACAGTCCCAAAATACATGCATAACTGTGCCAATGTCTAACTTGCATTTGAAACATAGCTGGGAACAATTGGGAAATATTCTATGGAAGCGAACTGGAGTTTGATAAATCCTGTGAATACATTTATAATTTTGCTCATGAACCGAATTGAAGTACTTTCGGGATTGATATTTGAGCAGGCAGATCCTCCTCATCACTAAAACTAGACCTCAGATCCTTTTCCCATATTGCCCTTAAAGAATCAAAGATTAAAGGGCCAGTATTACACAGCAATGTATATAATTCAGAGATCTTTTTTTTAATCATACATAAAGAAAAAAGCTGTTTTTCTATTTCAGTAAAAAAAATTGTATGTTACCTTCTTTTAACTGGAACTCTAAAAAGTGTCGAATTTGCAGGAATTTATAAAAATCTTTACTGGGAAGATTAAATTCCTGTCTTAACTGCTCAAATGATTTTATTTGGCCGTCATCGAATAGGTGACCTAATTCTGACACTCCAAGTCAAAAGGCCATTATTCTGTATTGTAGTGGGAAAATCAGGATTAAGGGTAATAGGTGACTTCAAGTAACAATCTTAAAAGTTACTTGAGTAAGAGTAAAAAAGTATCCAATGAAAACTTACTCAAGTAACTACTTACTTTTAATCTAATATCAGACCCGCAAGTTTTTTACTTTTCCACGATCTCTGAATCCAACACAAAATCAACAAAAAAACAACATTTTTTGTAATCCTGCAAAATTCTTAATTAACCGCAAAATAATTGCCAAAAATATAAATAATCTCATAAAGCATCCAATTCCAAACCATATAATCAAGTGATGTTCATTTCAGTTTGCAATTAATTGTTTTACATAACTCATAGATGTTGCATACGCAGCACATGCGATTGTATTCGAGTGTCTCTATAACAATGATGGCTTGTGGGTTTGAAAGACCCACCCTTCATTGACAGGTCCAGAATTGGTCCCCTATATGAACTCACTTATCCCATGTTTGACTTCTATGCTATCATAAATTAAGAAAATAACCAATCAAAGAAGGCTTTAAGACCAAGAGGACCCTTCTGTTGGATTATTATTACATTTGAATATTATGTGTGAATTATTCAAATGGTCAAATTCTGAAGTTGAATGAGCTGGCCAGTTTGTTATGTGCATATAGACTTCAGTTTTTAAATTTAAAACAAGTTTTAATAGATCCATAAAAAAGATTTTAATGATGGAGGATAATAAAAATTTATTTTAAAAATAAGAATCTTTTTAAATTTCTTTATTCTAAATATATAAAAACTTGCCGTTTAAATGTTACAAATTTAGCGTTAATTTACCTGTAAAAAAATTTATTCATGCGTTCCTCACTTGTGTTCCGAACCGTGAGTTGTGATCCGTACAATGTGATTTATAATGCATTGGATTTATGATTTGGGCAGTTTTGATGCACATTTTATTAACAGACACATTCAAGGTATGAGTAAATGTCATTTAAAAGGGTAGATGGCAGCAGTTCAATGTTGTGCTTGGCAGTTTCCTTTGAATACTATAAAAGAAAATAACATCTGATACATGATGAGGTGTGCATATGTGTGTAAATATGTCATGTGTCACATTTATAAATTGCTTGAACATTGAAAGTGTAAAGCTGGAATTATACTTGCGCCACATCGCGCACCTCTGCTGACTGCGCGTGCACCTTGTGAAACGGCCGGGGCTTTTATACTCGCCACGTTCGCCATTGTGATATTCTTTAAAAATACAGGAGGTGGTCAAAAGAAACCCACCGTAAAGTCAGACGGATAAACGGAGAAGTAGAAAGTTTCCGGAACTACGTCATATCATAATATAGTTCAGTATTTTTAAACTACTGATTTTGTATTGTTTTTATACATTATTTTAATGATTATAAGTATTTTATTATAACAATTCAAGATTTCAATATTTTTTTATCAAAATTCAAGATTTTTTTTATCAAATCACTTGCTTTTGTTCTTATCTTGACTAGATTTACCATTTAAAGTTTATTATAATATTAATCACAAGAGAACACGAGTTGCTTTACAAATATATTTTATTATGGCAAGAATAGAAGCAAAAAAAAAAAAAGATTTTTTTAGAAAAAGATTCTTCTTTCAGATTTAGCCCCTCCACAAATATATAAATCAGTGTTACCAGTGAAAAAATTTTTGTTAATTTGTAATTAATGACAACAGAACATGAGTTACTCTACAAATATATGTTTTATTATCACAAAAAAAGCACACTTACTAAAAAAATATAGATTTTTTTTTAGATTTAGCCCGCTCCACAATTCACACATTATTGTCTGGCTAGTTTCTGTCCTCTTATGCTTAAAAGGCAATGATGGTCCAACATTACAGATCATTATCACCAATAAAGCCCAGAGAAACAGGGCATCAGTATATTGTAAACCGATAGGTTTAAATATTCCTTCCCAGTTGTCAAAGAAATACTTCTGTGACTTCATTAGTTTTGTAACTATTAAACTGTTTTAAATTCAAAATTAAACAAAATACATCAGTATAAAACCTATAAATGGTGGAAAAACATATTCTGTGATTGTGTACCGGGTCTCCACTTTTGCCATGGCCTCTTTTTGTTTTAATAAATTTATTCTTCAGGTTTTTCCAAACCGTTTTAACAAAAACGTTCTCCTTTCCCACGGCTGTTGCTATTTCTAGCCAAGAATTATTGATCATTAGGTTATCTCTCTGATCACGGGTCATTAGATGTGTGTACAGTCGTACTGTTTCAGACAAAATCTCTTCAAAGTGTAGCGCGCACTGTTCGCTCGAGTCTCAAAAAATGCCCGACGCACCGCCAGCCGAAATCATGTCGCATGCACCCAAAGAGAACCTCCGCAAACTCCGCTATGACGTCACATTCGCCGCGCGCACTCAAGCAAACAAGCGGACGCGTCGAGTATAAACCAGGCTTCAGAAACCTGAATATAGTAAGTCCACCAACCTGATTTCACCAAGTAAGACAAGTTCCTAAACTAACATCTGTGTTGATCCTGGAACAACACTCCGGTCAGCCAATCAGAATGAAAGAATATGTTTACTGTTTAAGGTTAGGTTTATGATTGTTCTCCATTTATTATTCCCCTCTGATTTTGGGAATAATTTACAGTTATGGTTGGGTTTGGAAGTAATATCACACTTGGCAAAATCATGACGTGTAAGTCTATGATGTGTGTGTCCTGCAGACGTGGCGGTCCAGTGAGCTTCTCCTCCAGTCGTTCAGGACGCAGGCAACTGCAGATGGAGGGAGACTTCTCTGACGACGACGCAGACAGCAAAGCCAGCGATCTGAACGAGAACCAGCCTCCTCCAGCAGAATAACATAACACACCCTTCATCAACACCTCATTCTGCTCCTGCAGCTCTCCGTGGTACACAAACACACACACACACTCAGTCAGAAGCTACATCTCCATCAACTCTGCCTTATTCCCAATTCAAGATGCTTCAAGACCCATTAGTGTTTTCCTGTAGCCTTCCACGACACTATAGAAGTGCATTTGCTCCGCTCATTCGGTCAAAACGGTCACTCCAATCTAGTTTAGCTAGCTAAGCCAACGTGACGGATCGCATCTTAGTTGTACAGTTCAGAATTTCGGGCTCGGTTGAGATGCATGTGCTGCTCGTTCGCTTTAAAAGCAACTAAATCAAGTCCTATGGCTCGAAATAAATGTGAAACCACTACATCTCGTCACCGGGCTTCGTAATTTGGGCTTGGCTTCACTCGAGGCCTCCTGTTTGGGAGATGTTTTACGAAATTTGACGTAACTGCGAATCGCTTTTAACTGCACATCATTTGAGAAGCCATGCAACTGGAAACCAATATGACGTTTTCTGGATGCACGTCAAGCATTACAAGCCTTTACCTATATATATATAATCTATTTAGGTTTCCCCCCCTATATGTGACACAATGATGGTACATCCCAAATCCAGCTGCTCTATTTGATACACTACATGTGAATCACGGCCACTAGAGGAAGTGTATGGAGGAAGACGTTTGAGACACTAACGTCTAGATTGGATTCGTCAACTGGAACACGTTCATTCACAGCTACTTCCTTAAAGACTTGAGTTTAGGGATGATTTGAACAATAGATGAATGGAAAGTGTACTAACCTGTTAGCATTTAATGACGTGTTTCTTAAAGTGCCTTAGACACTAACTAGAAAACATCCATGAGAGTTTGTCATGAAGAAACGCTAACATGAAGGTAAAAGCGGATGAAGGAAATTGGAATAAAACTGTTATGTAACCTCCTCCCCCCTATTTTTTTTTGTTGTATTTTACCGTGGTATGATCATATCCAGTATATCAGTCTCCTGTATTTGAGGATGATCTGGGGAATCAGTGTTAATGATGGTTTGCTATAGAAGTGAAGAGAACTCATTTGGTTTAAAGCTTTATCATATCATCATCATCATCATCATCTTTATTATTATTAATGCGGTATTATTATTATCACTTCTGTTGTTGGCGAGCAGACGTCTCTCCTCTTGTTTTTCCTCTTGTATACTGTAACTATTTCTAGATGACAGTGAGTTTTGTAAAGGAAAAAACAATAAATAAAAGGTTGATTGTAGAAGAGACGGACGCCTCTTCCTGTTTCTGATGCTCATCTTCATTACTTGCACAAATAAGCAACGAGTGCTCATGTGGAGAAGAGTGCTTGTTTGAGTGCTTGCACAGTTGATCTGGGAGTTTATTCATCCACTTCAAATGTGTTTGTGTTTGTGTGTCTGCTTATGTATTTGTGTGATTGTGTGTGTCTGTTATGTACGTCTATTTGTGTTTGTGTGTTTGTATGTATTTGTTAATATTTTTTTTTCTGTGCATCTGTATATTAGTGTGTGTGTGTGTGTGTCTGTCTGTGTATTTATTTGTGTGTGTGTGCGTATATATTCATATATAAATATATTTATAAATAAATATATACGTGTGTGTGTATATATTTTTGTTTTTGTTTGTGTCTGTATTTGCCTGTATGTGTGTTTATATATTTATACATGTGTCTGTATTTGCGTGTGTGTATAGTTGTGTTTTTGTTTGTGTATATTTGTTTTTTTTATATATATATATATATGTGTGTGTGTGTGTGTGTGTGTGTGTGTGTGTGTGTGTGTGTATTTTTTGTGCGTTTGTGTGTGTGTATATCTGTTTTTGTTTGTGTCTGTATTTGCGTGTATGTGTTTATATATTTATTGGTGTTGCTGTATTTGCGTGTGTGTGTTTATTTTTGTGTGTCCGTGTGTGTATAGTTGTGTTTTTGTTTGTTTATTTGTATACGTGTACATTTGTGTGTTTGTCCAATTGTGTATTTATGTATATGTATTTGTGTGTGTGTCCGTGTGTCCATATTTATGTGCTTTTTTTGTGTCTGTATTTTTGTGTGTGAGTGTATGTTTGTGTGTCTGTGTTTTTGCGTGTATATGTGTATTTGTGCATATTTGTATGTTTGTTCTGTACATGTGTGTGTGTTTGTCCATATTTGTGTTTTTTTTCCCCTGTAGATTCATGTGTATTTTTGTGTGTATATATATTTATTGGTGTGTCTGTATTTGTGTGTGGATGTTTTTGTGTTGTTGTTTTTTTTCTGTGCGTCTGTATATTTATGTGTGTGTTTGTGTGTGTGTACATATAAACTATCCATTGCAACTATGTATTTTGCATACACACATTGTTTATACATGTATATTTTATAGATGACTGCATGTGTTTCTGTATAACGGGTGTACACACATGAATGTTTATTATATTTAAATGCATAGACAACAACTCGAACACGCCTGAACATTTGACTATTCTCATCATAAGTGTGTTGGTAATCATACTGGACAACGTTCAACTTAAACAGCAGCACATGAATAACACCACCCCCAGTTTTAAAACCTTTTTTATTGAATTAATCTTCAGAGCTTGTACTCGAAACAAAAATGACAGCATTATAATTCCAGGATCAAGACAAAAATAATCTACCCATAAATCATTTCAAGGGGAGCGTCAGTTGAAATCCTGCCCGCTCCAATCGAGCGCTTTACAAATAAAATAAAGCAAATATATAAAACTCCATTTGAAAAGTCTGTCCATCACGATATAACCACAGAGAGAGAGACGAGCAGAGATCACACACACACACACACACACACACACACAGAGAAACAACGAGCACACACAGACACCTGACCTGTTGCTTGTCCACACAGAGTGAACGCCGCCGTCATCTTTGGTGCCATTGAAACACAGTCAGAAGATGCAGATGAGCAGTGCTGGACATGATTAGTGATGATGAGATGCAGAAGGAAGATCTAGCTGTCCAGTGAGGTATTGGGGAGGAAGGGACCAGACAGATGTAGACAAACACACACACACACACACACATTAATCTCCACAACCACAGCTAAAAGTGGAGCTCTAGCTTACATTGCATTGAAGCATTTACAGACCTGCATAGTTATTAAACGTACAAACTAAGGCGTCTTATTGAAAGTCTTGGGAGTTTCTGTACTGATATATTATTATTATTATTATTATTATTAAGCAAAACTAAAAGTTCAAGTAGGCTATAATCATCATAATTTATTATCTCTGAAAAGCTTTCACATGTCATTCATCTGTAAAAGAATCTTTCACAAGGTCCAGTGAGATACGCACGCAGCACCAAAGACAGCAATACATGAGGAACGTCATACATACCAGCCTCCAAAATCGAGCACACAGTATTCATGTATACTTTCTATATACATACCCATTTTATTCTACAGACACGTCATAATATGTCCCTGTGGAAAACATGATCAATAATTTACTCATATGCATTATTCAACAGCTACTATTCTAACAGTCTGGAGAAGGAACCGGTCGGACTAACCCGTCCCTTTAGGAGTTAACAAAAGATCTACTAAGAAAATAAACAGGTTTCCAGCCGACTTTAACTTAAATAGAAATTACGTTGCTTTGCTTCGTACTCTTCTTCCTCCTCTAGTTCAAAGTCCACAGTGATTAAGGTCTCGTGTAAACATGTTGACGAACAAAATCTAAGTAAAATGCAGCAGCTCACTCCAATCATCCTGACGGATTCAAAGCAGAACGGTGTTAACTGAAGGGGGCTTGATGAATGCGCAGTACAGTGTCCGTCCACCATCTCATCTGATCCGAGCAGCTGAACACATCTACATTCTGCCGGCGGAGGTCAGTGGGATTTCCTCTTCGTGTCTCCCCCCTGACTTTGGTTTGCATCTGAGGAAAAATAAAGGTAGGGTGGTCACCATACTGGAACTCTGGATCTCACAAATAAAGGATTTTTCCAACAAAGGCCACCAGGAGGCAGTCATGCCTGATTATTCTTAAAGGACACTTATTTGCCACTACATCATGTTACTTTTCAATCACAATCGCAATATTTTGGACTAATACTAGAAATGGGTTTTGTTTTGACTGTTAAGTCAATTTAATAAGGCAGAATTATTTAAAGGGGCAGTTCACACAAACATTAATCGTCAACAATTACCCTCTTCACTTCTTCAAAACCTTTTAAAGTTTCTTTCTTCTGTTGAACACCAATGAAGATACTCTGAAAATGCTGGTTGCTGAGACTCATTAGCTGTTTTCATCCAAAAATGCAAATTAATTTTATGCGCAAAACTGGAATATCACATAAAAGACGTGGAAATAAAGCAGCGCTGAAACGAGTCCAAGCAAACAAAATCGCCACTTCCTGATTAACTTACAGCAGATATCAACGAACTGAATTCAAACTGAATTCTTTAATAAATGACTGGCACCTCAGAAGGCAATCCTGACATAGTGAATGTGCGGTGGCGTTTGAGACTCGGAGCACAGATGCTCTTGATTCTGGAGGTCATTAATAATATAATAACACTAATACTCAGTCAAGTTTAGGTGTTTTAGAATGACCAAAACAACATTTCAGATGATTTATAGTGTGCTCAGCCTGCCGGTTTGTCCAATCAGACTTATTTTTATCATCACATGATCCCTCATAACAAAATCACACGACTTTAATGCGCACACTGCAATTTGTTTAGTAAAAGTGCGCATCTTTTGAATAAAAAGTTTATCCTACTCAATTATGCGCTTTTTCAAAATTTATGCGCATCTTGGCGTTTCCATCAACCGTTTTTTATGCACATGCTGGATGGAAACATAACTAATGACTTTCAAATTATTATGAAAGTCCAGCAACCAGCACTCTTCAAAATATGTTTAGAAACTCACAAAAGTTTAAACCACATGAGTGAGAGTAAATGATGTGAGGGTGAACTCTCCCTTACAATTGTACAATTTGGAACACGAGAGTTTGACAGATTTATATCTATCTACATCCATCCCTGTATATCTTGCATTGGTGGAAATATTGATAAAGATAAACATAATTTATATATAATATATCTATACATACATATGGATAGATGTGTATACACACACACACACACACACATATATACATATACATATATATATAGATAGATAGATAGATAGATAGATAGATAGATAGATAGATAGATAGATAGATAGATAGATAGATAGATACAGATGAAGTCAGAATTATTTGCCCCCCTTTAAATTTGTTTTTCTTTTTAAAATATTTCGCAAATGATGTTTAACAGGGCAAGGAAATTTTCACAGTATGTCTGATAATATTTTTTCTTCTAGAGAAAGTTTTATTTGTTTTATTTAGGCTAGAATAAAAGCAGTTTAAATAAAAAAAAAAAAAACATTTTAAGGTAAAATTATTAGCCCCTTTAAGCTAGTTTTTCAATAGTCTACACAGAACAAACCATCGTTATACAATAACTTGCCTAATTACCCTAACCTACCTAGTTTACCTTAATTAACCTAGTTAAGCCTTTAAATGTCACATTAAGCTGTATAGAAGTGTCTTGAAAAATGTCTAGTAAAATATTATTTACTGTCATCATAACAAAGATAAAATAAATCAGTTATTAGAGATGAGTTATTAAAACAATTATGTTTAGAAATGTGTTGACAAAATCTGCTCTCCGTTAAAAAGAAATTGGGGAAAAATAAACAAGGGGGGCGAATAATTCAGGGGGGCTAATAATTCTGACTTTAACTGTATATATATATGTATATAAAAACTAGAAAATATAAATAGCTTTTGAAATAAAATGAAAAACATTTTGACTGCTTAGCAAAGAAAGCAAATCTACCCAAGTGAAAGAATAGCTGCTTATCAGCACACTAAGATTTGGAACAGAGCCGATTATCACAAACAGCGATTGAAACAAGCAAAGGGAAGTACAGAAAGGTGGAGATCAACAACACAAGAGGGCGACAGTGAGCTGAAGGGAGTGAGAGTTTACTGCAGCATTTACCTGAGAAAGCAAGCTGCAAGTGAGGAGGTAGAGCAACCTGAGACCCTGGCTGAAGACTTTTAAACAGATCTGGGGGAGGACAGCAGGACAGGGCAAACACAGAGCACAGAGAGAGATGCACAGCAATCCAGCAGCACACCAACACAGGGGAAGAGAAGAAGGGGATAAAAACAGATTAGGGAGATGCAGAGAAATGCACTACACACGTCTGCTTGCTAGCTATATCACAAACA